AAAAATTACTGGTAACACAACATAAAAGAACCTTAGACATTGAACACATACTTCTAGAATTTATCTGTTTATGTTTTTTATGACATTTCTAGAAACTGTAACATACAAAGACCAGTAGGCCTTTTTTTATCTATCGGACACTATTAAATCAATAATATTGTTTAATTATTATAATTGTAATGGTTAATAATTACAATGGTTGTTATAACTGTAATGGACGGAATGCACAAAGAACCCATGAACGCTAGAGGAAATTTATTTTCCGGAAACACTACACAGCTCTGAAACTTTTTAAGCATGAGTGCTAGTACAACTATTCTCAGTAACATTTTAAATTTTCAATACATAAAATCATATGAAATTTACAAATTCCTTAGTATGATGATAAACGGGTGGATTTGACAGATGCAGCCAATTTGCATATGTGTGCTCGTCATCCATATGAAGGTCTAATATGTACCAGGAATAAGGAGTCAAGTGATAAGGAGTGCTTGGTAACCTTGTAGAGACATAGGGTATTTTTTTGGATGCAGGCAAGATGAAAAATTAGCAACGCCTTCGCCAGGAATCGAACCACAGACCTCTGGAACACTGGCCCAGTGTGCAGAGCCACTACACCACGAAGGTACACTAAGAAGGTGGGAGAAATACCTTATAACCTAATGAAATTCAGTTTAAACCATGCAGAATGCAAACTTAACCAAGATGGTGGAATGCCCATTGTTTTAGTTTATTCCCTGAAGGGAATAAAGGTACAGCACACTTATGATGTGGTACCATCATTATGTTCAAGATTCCAGAACATTCCTGCAAAGATGTAAATGAACAGTCTTTGACCTGAATAAAGGTTCTTGTACCTTTCGCAAGTTCGCCACGTTCATAAATTCACAAGGAATGCTTGATCATATCATGCAGTTTATAACTCGTAAAAAGCATCTTCCATCAAAGTGCCGCACCTTTATGATTGTTTCTGTCTCAGTGAAATCTCCATCCTAAAAATGCAGGCACCTTTATGCAAGCGGGTCACTGTTTGCCAAAGATACCTTGCGTCAAAATAACCGCACCACTATACAGTTCAATAAATAAAGCATCTCTTGTCGAGGTGGCGGTATTTCTATATCAGAACATATTTATTAGGAGGCTCGTCGAAATACCCTCACAAAGATACTTGCAGCATTATGAAGTTCAATTTATAATGCAGATGAAGCATCTTTTTTCGAGGTGTCGCCACCCTTATGGTGGCTTCTGTCTTGATTGATAATAGACAACTTGCATAAAGATAGCGGCATCTTTAGTGACAAGGTGAACCCACGGCCGTTGGCATCTCGGGAAATTCCCCGAATTGATAGCCCCATTAGGACCTTGGATGCAGACCTAAATTAAATAAGCTTATCTACAATAACGTGGATATAAAGATTAGTTGTAGTTGGACATTGTTTATAGCATGTGAAATTCTTGAGTTTGCAATATTTCCTTGAATGTTTCAGTAGAAAATTTGAGGGGGGGGGAAGTCATGTTATTTCAGAAGAAGTCCGATTTTTTGTCAAAATACCTATATTAGAACAACGCTAGATATAAATCTAATACATATCCTAAGTCGCGCTTTCGAGTCATTGAATTTCGCCAATTGGCTCAGTAGAACAAGAGATATAGAACTGTCCCCCCTTTTTTTCTGGTGCAGTTTATGCTGGATAGTCCTTTGTTGTAATTAAAACCAACCATGATAACAGATACCAAATTTAGAAAGGAAAAAAAAAAAAAAAAAAAAAAAAAAAAAAATCTGTGAGGCGTATAACGCATTAAATTACACTATCAGCTTACATCAAGATATTAATCTTTTCTAACGGTTCTGTTAACACTGGAAAAGCTTGACTATTTGAAAATAAATATAACTTAATGCACGTTATCTAACAGGTTCTTTGAAAGTGTAAATGAAAATCTTCGGCTGCGAAATATTCGCTGAATTTTACAATTTATCCATCGAGATTTTCCTTAGTTTTCAATTATGCCATCCTTCTCCCGATGAAATACCTTGTACTATGCGATGCACAAATTTATATTGAAATTTTCAATAAGAATTGCCGTATTGTAAGAATTATTGAAGAGGCAAAAATTACTTTAACGAATCTTTACACAAAACACCACACTATCCCTAAATATTTGAAGATTACTTTAAATGCATTTTAGTTATACTTATTTTCAATGTATTTAATGACGTGCTCACCTAAAATATAATGAGATTATTCGGAACATATAAATATAATTTGAACACATTCTTTTTCTATGATTAAGTTGTATAAATTATATCAGTTCAACATTCAAGATTTCATGGTGAAAATTGATAACTGAGGCAGCTTTAAAGATATCCCTAATGCTCTTTGAAAAAATATCGAATGATTTTTACATGTTCTGGCATTACCCTTGGTTGAATATTTATCAATAGTATTAGTCAAGTAATTTATAATTTGAATTATATTTAGCTGAAGCAAAGAACATCTATGTAAAGAAGGAAAGTTTCCATAGACGTAATGTAAACCAAAGAATATGTATTGATGTTCTTTGTTGTACCAGTTCTTTGATGTAAACCAGTTTGCTATTACGCTACTAGAAAGCGAAGAGAAAATTTGCCTAGGCATTTGGTGACGGACCCTGGTGGCGAGAATTTCCCTCTCCACGATGTGTACAAGAAATTGAGGAACACGTGTTAAGAAGAAACGTTTCTTCATTGACTTTTCGCAATAATTTAAACTCGGATTTTCGTACTTTTTTCCTTCAAAATAACTAATCCATTGATTAATTTACTTGCGTGAAAAAAATATTTTCTTTTCTTTTAAAGTTTAAAGAAATTCAAAACTCTTGATAAATGTGACGTTTGAACTTCAACACTGGCTTCGGGGACAGATATTTCGCGCTCATGCTCAGCTATTTCCCTCTACGTTGGAACGGAGCCATTCCTGATGTGGCGAAGTTTTCCTTCTTAGCAATACACATTCTTTGGTTCAGCTCTGCAGACAATCAACAACAAAGCCGCGAAAAAATTCGCCAAAGAGGTAATGATGTACCTTTAGGTTTGCAAAGTATTTGAATATAATCGATGTATATACACATTTTGTGCTGTAGAAATAATATTTTGATCAATGAATTGTATCATGGTGAATCTATAAATGTTACTTCGTTTCCTGAGGTAAAATATTAATCATTATGCAGAAAAATTAAATGTTCCCCAAAATGAAAATTGACCATCGGCCCAAATGGATTTGTGGCGTCCTCTATTTTTTCAACATTGATACTAATTGAAAAAACAAAGGTGATATTGGGTAAATATTTATTAATAATATGATAAAGTAAGCCACTATTTTTTTAATTCAGCAGAATTTTGAAGATGTATCCTATGTAGGAACAGACTTTTTCAGTACTTCACTGCATTTTTTTATGTGATAATATATCGCTAAATTTGCTTATGTTGAAAGAATAGCCAAACATTTGTCAACAAACTGCCTTAAGGCTGCATTTTAACTGAATGAATAGCTGTTAATTTTTAAAATTATCGTATTCATTCATTTGGGTAATGTAAAATCTGAAAGTTTTTAGATTTTACATTATGCACAAGGGGCTTTTTTTTTTTAAACATTTTGTGTGTTACCTTTATTTATTAAATATAATGATCTTCGCATTTAAACCATAAAATTCAATTCAACAGCAGTATTGCAAAATAATTTTAAAATGAGCATATCTTTAGAATTTCCGAAACACAGTCTCGTGGCACATTGAAGATAAAAATGTTCCCATCCCCTACAGTGCTGCCACTGCTTGCTTTGAAATCATCGAGTTTGTTGATAAAAAATTCGTTAAAGTGTTACAAAATACGAAATGAATAATAAAACAAATTCCAAATTAGGATTTCCGGATGCCCATATATGGTGGAGGATTATACTATTCAAAATTTGATGGCTCTATTTACCCTTATTTTATCACAATGCATGAAACATACATACATTTATACAGATTATTCAATATTTAATTTCTTTAAATATAACACAGGGTGATAATATTTGGTGGCAACAATTTGAAAAGTGAAACAGACATTTAAAGTTTTCGACGGAAAATGCGAAAATGAAATTAATAGACCTTCTGGGCTAACACCCTTTGGTCTTGGGCACACCAGATGTTTGGCATTCGATTTAGGCAAGATTTTAAGATAAAAATTTAAAACTAATACAGAATAAAGAGATCAGCATACGGCTAGGAAAATTAAACATAAGTTTCTTTTCAAGTTTTGTATCCTAAACACAAAATCTGGAAGATTTCTTTGAAAAATAAGCGTCATTAAATGGCTAAAATGTATGGACTGGTTTGTGTTGCCATTTAGTATAAATAAAGAAGGTTCAAATAAAGCGTTTTCTATTCAATTTTCCTGTGTGTACAGAGGGAAGTTTTTGGGTGTGTTCAGACTGTGTAGGAAAGGGTTAAAGGTTAAAAATTAAAAACCAGAACTGCTGGTTTATTGGGAGACTGGGAGATGTGATGAAAAACTGAAGTCAGCAGCTACATTATCATTACTAACATAAACAATACATTATTATATTCAAATTAATATACTAATACTTTTGATCTAAAATACTGCATACCTATTTATTAATGCTACTTAAGCACTCAATATTCAATCTTAGATTTATATATTAATTTTATTTTGTTAGGAATATAGAGAGATCTTATGCTTAGTTCATTCTGTCATATTTCCACTGATTAGGATTAGCCTTAAGCAGACAGATTAAATGCTGAAAAATCAAAAACATTTGTTTTCATCAGAAAGCATTTAGTATTATTTTGTAAATGAAAAATTCAATTAAAAATAAGCATAACATACCTTGAGCAAGACAAAAATCACTCCCTCTCCCAACCGAAAAAAAAGGGGGATTTGCCACCATTTCACGATAAATGATTTTTTTATTATAAATGATTTTATTTCATACACAATTTTAGTATAAACACAAAACACATCTAATAAAAAAACAATTTATTTTCCTATTACACTACGTGGCATTTTCTTCAGGTTTCAATTTGTCTGGTATAACATTGCTGAATTTTTTTAATTTACACACAAAGAACCCATCCATGTTGTGCATATGTGGGTAGAACCGGCGGGCCAGTTTCAGTGATGGATGAAATCTGTGTTCTCGGTAGCTGAAAACAAACAATTTATTATTACAAGATAAGAAATTTTTTTAGCAGAATCAAAAGAAATGATGACATAGTTTTATTATTGAAAAACAAAAAATGGTAATTAAAAGTTCTTGGAACATTTGTTAGGTTCTTTACTGATGTTTTTGCATAGTATTGATATTAGTAACTTCTTCAGTCAGGTGGAGCACCTAAAAATTTGCTTGATGTATTTGAGAACTATAACTTGGATATTTTGGCCATTTAAGAGATCAGATGGCTTGGCGAAGGAATTCCAGATAAAAGAACATGTAGTGTTTTACATAGCTGTCATGATAAGCAACACTGCTTTGGGCTAGGATTTGTAGTTACTAAGAAAATAAGAGACAGAATCATATTTCAAACCATAAATGAAAGAATTTATAAATTGCAGATTCAAGCTTATCCTCAAAATATTAGTATTATCAGAGTACATAGACCCACTGAAGAAAAATGTCATGCTATTAAGGATGAGTTTCATAATAAATCTGAAGGACTCCTATGATAAATGTCCCTCAAATGATATAAAACTGATGACTTTTATGCAAAGACTGGCATGAGGTTAGTGAGGAACTATGTGGGTAACAAAGATACATTTTTACAGTCTACATGAGGAAAGTAGTGATAATAGCTTCAGACTTAATCATTTTGCAAATGAAATGAGCTTATTATAGGGAGAACCTTCTTTGAAAATAAAATATACATAAAGTCAAATGGCACTCCCAAGATAGCATCCCCCACCCCCCTCAAAACACTAAATCAGATCGATCATTTCCTGGTGGATCTAAGACACCATAAGTGCCTCTTGGATATCCGCAGTTACTGCAGAGCCAATGTTGACCGAGATAATTTTTTGTTGGTTTCCAAGTTGACAGGAAAGCTAAGTAAGATCGTTTGAAATGGGCAACAAGGAGATGGAATCTTGGATTTTGACTCTTGCACAAACCTGTGATGATATACAGCAAGGATGTCAAACTCGGGGCCCGCATGCGGCCCGGCCAATATTATCAGCAAATAATAATATAATAACATATCGATGAAGAAAAAAATTAAATGTTTACTGCTAAGTAATTAACGATAATTTATTCAGTGTTGTTAAGATTACTCACAGCGAGCTGACACACACACTACTTAAATTAACAAATCGTGTGAGTAGCTTGCGTTCAGCTACCTTCGGCTTTTGGGACACCTGCACTCAGAACTTGTACGCATCCCCATAGCCGAATGCGGCGAACTCATGGTCTCTCCAATCATAGCTTGACGATATATTGGTGCATCACACTTTATTATAATTATTACTTAATTCATATTGATTTCATTTATTTATTTATTTATTTTTTTTTTTTTTTTAAATTAATAGATTTGTTATGTTTGCCTTAGCACGCAGACGATTTTGAAAAGACACTGCTTTGGAAGTTCTTAAAAATAGAACGCGCCGCATTTAATACCTAATAAATAAATATCTCGTAATTGCTCTTGCCATCACAAAAATCCAGATATTATAGATGTTTCCAGTATATTCGAAATTAATTATAAAGCTTATAAAAGCCGAGAACAAACAACATCTCAGTAGTAGCTGTAGTTCTAGCGAACTGTTTGTTACTTAATGCTTGATTGATTTGTAGCGATTCGCTGTGAGATAGAATAGTTCGTTTTGAATTGATTTGCTAAAGTTTGACATTTTGTGATATTGTTAGAATATTTTGAAGAAAATTTCAGCATTTTGATTTATCTTTGTGAAAGAATAAATTTTTGTAACTTTTTAACATTAACCGTGTTATTCCAGCTTTTGTATTCAGTATGTCTATATCAAAACCAGTGTAGTAAAATTAAACGAAAAATTGCTGACAACATAGAATATCCAAGTAAAATGGGATTAGAATATTTTTGCTGTGAAATAAAAGATAAAATAATCTGCTTGATATGTAATAATACTATTAATGTAAAGTTTATATTAACGTCATTACGAACAACACAAATCGAAAATAACAATTACGGGATTAATGAGAGAAGAAAAGTTGAAAGAGTTAGGAGTGAAAAAGCAACAGTCCATGTTTAGAAAGTATTGCAAGAAAGTGAAGCAGCGGTACATGCAAGCTACGTCTTGTCCGAGTTGATAGCTAACATTCAAAGCCTTTTACTGATGGTGATTTCATCAAGGAATGCCTAATGAAAGCTGGAGAATTGTTTTTGGAAATGTGAAGGCTTTCAATCAATTTCATTGTCTCGAAATACAGCTGCGGAAGAGTACTGATTTAGCCGCGAATTTAAGTGATCAGATCAAAGCAAATCATCAGTTTTGAAATTTCTCCATTGCCTGTGACGAGAGCACGGACATTAGTGGCCAAAGCCAATTAGCAGTGTTTCTTCGTTTGTGACAAGATTTTAAATTTTGAGGAATACTGGACTATACCATGCCTGTACTACCACAGAGAAGATATTATTTGGTTTTTTTGGACTCTGCAGAAATACAATCTATCTTTGGCAAAATTAAGTTCTGTAGCTACAGATGGCGGGAGTTCACATGAAAAATAGCTTTCTCCTTTGCTACTACTCTTTTGGAAGGTTAAGGAATTCTCTTTAGATACCGTGAGCAAAATTACTTTGTCAAACTTAAGACAACGATCTTCTAATTATTTAAATGTAATGTATGTGTATAAAAGTGAGTATAAGTTAGACAATTATTTTTGAAATACCTATTATTATATCAAATCGTAAGAGAAACCAGTGAAAAAGCTTTTATTATAGTTATCTTAGATTGAATTGGATTATTTAATTACAGCAAAGCCACGAAGGCATCTGCCTAAAGGTAGAGATGCCTCAGGAGGACTTCTAAGGAAACTGGCTCGTATACTGTTAAAGGGGAAAACCACGAAAACGCCCATGCAGCCAGCCCGTGTGGATTCGACCGAACTACCAGTGTTCAGCTTCTTTACCGCTTCTTCAGGGCTTAGTTATTTAGAAAGAGTAATAGAATTCTCCCACTAGTATGCATGAAGAAAAGATATGAATGTCATTTTTTTCCTTCATGATTAATACTAAACGCCCAGGGACAGAAACCTTCAACTTTTAAGAAAACAAATGTATAAAAGAAGCTCTGACTCTCTCGACTAGAGAGAACTTCGTTAGCAACTCCTACACTATGAGGACTATAATTTTAAATACTTTTTAAAGAACTGTGAATGCAACGATGTCCTGAGTAAGACATGTGTAAAGAAGAAGAGACTTGGCCGGATGCTGTCGGAGAAGTGGAGCTCGCCAGCGAGCTGATGTGGTGACTTTCGTCCAGTGATATGAGTGCATCTCCGTAACGTCTCTATTGTGTCACCAGCTCGAATATTTATTAAAGTTTTCTAAATGTATTAATTAAATGTTGTATCTGTGGTATGTGCTATGAATAAAAATTGATGCATCACCAATACCAGTGTTACTTCCCTTACAACTGGAGCATCCGCAACGTCACAGTATTTTATCTATTTTAAAATTAACTTTATAAGCTTTGCAAATGTTTACAATAATAACATCTTCTCTTCTAAATTAAAGCTATTTTTTATGCACAGTTTTTTCAAATTAAAAATGTTTTTTTTCCTTGCTGCGAATTGTGCCTTTGCAGTCAGTGTCAACATCACTATGTCATTACTCCGCATTTCCTGTTTCAAGGAGAAAAGTTCTATAATCCAGCCCTTCTCTTTGAAGTCCTGATATTTAAGGTAAAAATATATGCAAATTATTACATTAAACTGCAACAAATTTCATCATTAAATGATAATTTTATTATTTTCCATATTAAAATATAATTATTTTAGATAAAATATTTTAAAATTTCTACGCATATATGATTTACTACTTGAACATCGTCTAAATTTTGAACAGAATTAAAAAAATTACAAAATGATAAAAAATTAGTGAGATTATTTATTGTTTGATAATAATTCATATCCACTTAGTTCATCATCACTGTCTACTATTTCACAATCACCATTTTCAACTTCATCTAATAAAGACCCAAAATAGGACATTTTTTACTCCTAAATTTCATTTTGTATTTTAAAATGACTACACCACATTTTTTTAAAGAAAAAGTCGAAGGTGAAAAAAATCCAATTAAAAAATTCAGCTAGCAATTCAAGAAATCTAAACTTACCCGACGATGTGTGTGGGGGCTTGACAGGATCATATAATAATATTTTAAGTAATTATATAATGAATAAAAACTAGAAATTTGAAGCCTGACTAAATTAAAGGTTATAACCTTAATGACAACTACTGGAGAAATGAAGTGACAATGAATCACGGTTTAAAAAAAAGCATTCCATTTTAATGGGGCTGTGGTCAAACAAATCCCACGCATGTGCTCACAGATTGGTTCCTAAATTCAATAACTTATTTCCTTCCTTTCATAATTAATTTTATTGTCCGAAAGTTGAGAGGAGAAAATTATGCAAATAATTTAATTTTCAAGAAATATGGTTACAGTTAGACTATAGCAAATGAAAAGTAGTTACGGATATACTAGTGGTAACTATTACCAATATTACTTTTTTAAAAGAAATCTACAGTCCACTAAGAATACATAGTAATATTAATATCACATACTGAAGTGATATTTGATCATAAGCGAGTCATACAGACATCCAGCTCAATTGCTTTGTAAAGCCCTTGGGGTACCTCACATGGTAGGAGCCTCAATCACAGTTTCCAAAAGGGACAATGAAAGAAAAAAAAAAAAAAAAGGTGAACAAATAATCTGATTTTGAAAGACAAAATACATCAGCAGTGGATAATGATGAGCTGTAACGTAAATAACAGAAATAAGGTCAAAATCACATGTTTGCAATGATTTTTAAGTGAGAAAACACCTGCCACGTCTGAGTAGCTGAATGAAGAATTTGCATAAAATACATTTTAAACCATAAAATGGCTGAAATGGCAATACAAACTGAATCCACAGATTAAAAATAATAATAATCGAAGGAATACAATTTACCAATTTATTTGTAGGATGGAAAAACTATAAACAACAGAAGAAGAGCAAAACAATGTAAATATTTAAACAAATTTCTGAACCTAGAGATAAAAAGCTGGGGGAGGAATAAGTACGAAAAATTTCATTTATTGCTAAAATCTTTGACGATAAAAATTAAAATCCAGTATATTGGTGATCTGCTAGGAGAGTGAGAGATGTAATGACACATTGGGAAAATTAGCAACTACGTTTACATGGGTATCTTTATGACCTGTAACTATTAATATTCATGAAATATAGCTAAAATTATCTCACCGAGCCAAGCCTTCTTTTCCAAAATCCAGGCCGGTGGGTACTACCTTCACGCTGCGCTTTTTCAAGACATAATCGATGACACATTCGTTTTCCTCTGGCTTCATTAAAATGTGTGGGGGGAAAAAAGACAGAAAAATTTTTAACATTTCATTCACTATTATATTATCAAATTACAGGCTTTTCTTTTTAGACATAGTAAAAATAAAAAAAAAAAAAAAAAAAAAAATTGTCCAATAGGCGTTTTTTTAACGTTTGCATGTTACCAACCTTTTATTTTTAAACCATATTCAGTTTCAAAAATGTCAAAAAATTTTAAAATGAGCCTTCTTTAAATTTCCGATACACAGATAAAAGGTTCCCCCCTGTAGATGTTGCCTTGCTCGCATTAATCGTTAATTTACTCAAAAATTCATTAAAGTTTACAAAATAAATCGATAATAAAAAACAAATTCCAAATTGGTCTTCCACGGCCCATATTCGCAGGAGTATTACGTCATTCAAAATTCGATGGCTCTATGTACCGTTGTTTTATCACATGTGGGACATAAATACATTTATGCAGATTTTCATTATTTAATTTCTTCAAATATATCAAGCTCTAAATTGGTGGCAACAGTTTGAAAAGTGATTCACCGTTTATAGTGATTCAATGCAAAATAGCAAAACGAAAACAATAGTCCTTCAGGGACAAAGCCCCTTTGGACTAAAAAAAAGAGATTTTAATGATGCCTGCTGGTACAATTTCATAAAAACATTCAATATTTTTAAACAAATTATGATTTAAATGCATCTTTTTAAAAATCAACCAGATTAACCCTTTAGTCTTGTGCCCACCTCTCATATGGGCAGCTGGTTCGAATAAATTTTGTTGTGCATGTATCTCACATGAGCAACACTTTTGGAATAAAAAGTCATGGGAATTCCAATTTTTATCGTGCCCATATCACTTTTATTTATATAGCAGACTCTCATATGGCAGCAAATAATTGTAATTTGACTATACAACAGCAGCATACAAATTTAAAATATTTTTTCCCCCATTAGAACATGTTTTTAAAATATTCATTTTCAGGGAATTTTCGTAATTTTTTCCTTTTTATTCATATAATGAGTAGCAAGTGAACAAGAGAATTTAAGTCTTGAAGAATGAAGAAGTGATTCAGAAGGCAGCATTTTCAGATGCTTTCGATTCTGGTATTAAAATTTGAAGAGAGTGATAATGACGATCACATGTGACTTTTATCAGGGTGCCAATGGAACAAAATTGTGTCGGATGTCCCAGATATTTGCTCTCCCCGTTTTCAGTTCAAATTATTGCCTAAAGTTAATATTTCATTTCAAGGCAGTTCAGGTATTTTACAATATTATGAAACTTTTATAAATGATGAAATAGAGGATATAATTGTAATAGAGACTAAATATTATGCTGAGCAATCAGTAAATGTTGTTGCAAAAAGAAAACTGAAAGACAGAAAAGAATGGAAACCTGTATCATCATTTTAAACTGTATTGAAATGCATCTGTTCCTTGTGCTTTAAATTTTACAAGGTATAATAAAAAATAATAATAATAAAAAAAGTGGAGTTCGCATGCACTTTGGGAGGATGATCCTTTTCGCTGATTTGGGAGGGATGGTTGGTACAAATAACAAAGATCCTAACTACTGCCAAGAGAAAATACCTCAGATTATGGCTGAGCCGACATGGCCTTGTGCAATTCCAACTTGGCATGCAGGATCCATGGCTTCATGAGCCAGACACCATATTCTCAGCTTCCTGTCAGTGTTAAAGCAGTTGGAATCGAGCTTCATCACACCTTACTACACGTTTCCAGTCCTCTAGAATCCATTCTCTTGCTAGGGAAGACCTGCAGTCCAATGGCATGCATTGAGCAATGATACTCTCCTGGGTCTATGGCCCCTGAAGCCCATAAGGTGAAGCGAGCATTACATGGTCCATTTACAGACTACAACTGGAACTCTCAATCAGCTGGGTGGTAATTTGGGCTAATGTTTGGCTTTGCTGGGTACATACAATGCAGTTGAGCCGTCTCAAAGCACCCTTGTTCAAGGCCACAGGTAATAATTATTTCACTAAAGAATTATGGAAAAATTCAGAGTTGATTACGTAAATATACATATGCATGCCTGTGGAGGGGATGTAAACACGAGGTTTTTTTTGGCAATTTGTATGCTCGTACTCATTCACGACATTCACTGCGCTCCTCACAAGAGTTGGATAAATTTTATAAGGTATACAGTAAAATAAAAAGCCACTGACATATGAATGATTTAATAAGATGAAGAATTATTGATAGATTATAGTTTGGCCAATCACAAACGCAGGTGGCTACAGAGTTCAAGGTAATGCCTAGTATCATCTGCAATTTGTAGAAACAGTTTCAGGTCACTGGATCCAAGAAGACGAATGAGGATTGTAATTGGGCAGCTTCAGCAGGACAACACAGGGCTACTACAGCTTCACATCTCTCATGTGACCTGTATGCTGCCACTGGAACCTTAATTTTACAGACTACAGTTGCCCGAAGGCTTCATGAGATAGGACGGCATGCCAGAAAACTTGTTGCTTGTGTCCTGTTCACTGTCGCACACAAGAGAGTGCATTTAGCATGGTACAGGCAATAAGCACATTGGACCAGACTTAAGTGGACCATCATGCTTCCTACAGATGAGCCAAGATTCAGTATGCATACTGATTCTTAGCATTCTTGTATCTGGAGAGAGTCTGGAGCATGATACTATCCCTCCCAAATCAGGGAAAAGGATCATTATGTGATGGAAGTGTAATAGCTTGGGCAGGCATTATATTGGACGGCAGCATTAAATCTGTGATGGCTGGAGCATGATACTATCCCTCCCAAATCAGGGAAAAGGATCATTATATGATGGAAGTGTAATAGCTTGGGCAGGCATTATATTGGACGGCAGCATTAAATCTGTGATGGTTGACAATGGCTCCTTGACTGTTAGAAGGTACAGAGAGGAGATTATCATGATCTCAACCCTATACAGCATGCCTAAGATGCTCTCGGAAGGGCAATTTCATCTCATCATTCCCATCCAAGAACCATCCTAAAGTTGAAAACCACCTTGCTACAGGAGTGCGATCGACTGCTGCAGGGACTCCTCAACTGCCTACAGTCCAGTATGTTATCACACTGCATGATCTATTTGGCTGTGAGAGGTGACCATACCCTATAGTAGGCTCATTTTCAGTTCAGTATAACAATGCCATGGCCTTGTGCAATGAGGATTTTGGACATTCTCGCACTACTAGCTTAACTGATAATTATGCACACATAAAATGACTTTTGAATGGTACACTGCTTTCTGTTATAAATGTATATTCATACCAAATTTCATTAAAATCTGTCTATTCAGAAATTCAATGTAATGTGCAAATTCTCTAAAACTGTGCACATGAGTGTAAAATAAAAATAATAATTAATGTATATACACTGCTCGACATTGAAAATGCAACACCAAGAAGGAGTGGTCAGAAATTTATGCAAATTTTAGAAAAGACGCACTTTATGTGTCTACTCTAAAATACTCTGAGTTATGCGAATGATGTGAAATGCGCAGCTCTCTGATACACGTGAAGTAACATATAAGGGAAGGAATGGGCAATATTCGTGTCGTTATTTCTGCCAGACCAATTATCGAAGAAAGTTGGTTTTATGCCGGAGGATACGTGTATTAGGAGAGAATGCCAGGCCACCATCAACAAAGGCACTTCCAGCAGATAAACGATTTTATGAGGGGTATGGTGATCAGACTGAGAAGGGCGGGTTAGTCTTTACGTCAAATCGCAGCTGTTACTCACATGGATGCGAGCATGGTGCATCAGCTATGGCAAACATGGGAAGAAGGAGGGTTGCAGGTGCAGCCAGAGTGACGTCAGTATGCATGGATCAGCGCATCCGCCGACAAGCTGTGGCGGTCCCGCAAGTCACTTGTACCGCGATTCTGCAGCATATGCAAGATACTCTGGATGTTCCCATGTCGACCAGAACCATTTCCCATCAATTGGTTGAACGTGGCCTACACTCACAGCATCCGTTAAGAAGACTGCCATTGACCCCCAAAGCATAGACACCAACGTTTAGACTGGAGCGATGTGGATGACAGAATGGCGAAATGTCGTGTTCTCAGATGAGTCATGCTTCTGTTTATCCAGTGACAGTCGGCGCATATGTGTGTGGCGTAGATGTGGAGACAGGTTTAATCCAGCAGTAACTGTGGAACGCCCCACCGCACAACAAGGTGGCATAATGGTTTGGGGAGGTATTGCCTACGATTCCAGGTCACCTCTAGTTCGTATTTAGGGCACTATGACGGCCCAACGATACTTGGATAATGTACTGCGGCCGGTGGCAATCCTCTACCTTCATGAGTTGCCTAATGCAATTTTTCAGCATGATAATGCCCGACCACACAGTGCTCGCATCTGCCAACATGCTCTACAAGGTATACAGATGCTTCCCTGGCCACCGTACTCTCCTGACCTGTCCCCAATCAAACATGTGTGGGATGTGATTGTACGCCGTTTGTAGACTCTGCCCCTGCCTTGTTCAGAAGACAAACTGTGGCAAATGGTTTAAAGGGAATGGAGAGTCATCCCCCAGGACACCATCCACACTCTTATTGACTCTATGCCTAGACGTGTTTCTTCGTGCATCGTCGTCCGCGGTGGTCCTACATCCTACTGAGACGACGCTGTTCTCGCTCTGCATTCTGACTATCATTTTGAAATAAAGATAACTTATTGCTGCTTGCTGTCTCTGTCTTTTTTCCAAATTTCATCACTTTCTGACCATTCCTTCTTGGTGTTGCATTTTCAATGTCGAGCAGTGTATATATATTTGTGTGAATAAATTAAGTAATTTAAGTAAACAAAATGAAATACAAATATTTACTGATTAAACACAGCTTGAATTTCCATATAAAAATCTACAAATGTCAACAGAGGATTAAGACAACTCAAATAAAATATTTAATTAGACCAACAAAACATAATAAGAAAAATTATTCTTAAAATCATTACAGATAGGGAAATGGAATTTGTCAGATTTAACTTTCAATAATGCAATAAATTTCATTCGTTGTGAGAAACATTTTCTTTAATAAAGGCTAAAAATTACAAATACAGATTAAGTGATCTACTAAGAAACCAGGAGGTATGATGAAAAATACAAAGTCTCTTAATAAAACCGGAGGAGGCTATGAATGTGTTACCTAAAAATGATTTAATTCTAGAACCATAAAAATATAAGACATTACAGCAAAATGAGCGTGCATTCAAAAACACACATGTACAATTTACTAATACTTACCAGTATGGAACAGGTGGAGTAAACAATATACCCTCCAGTTTTTGAATTTGCATTGGTGCAATCTATGGCAGACATCAAAAGCAGTCTCTGAATTGTGGCACAACGTAAAATATCTTTCTCATCCTAAAAAATGACGGCATTTGATTAATACATAAACTTAAGAAAGGCATTTATTTCACTTATGAAACTCTTGATGAAATATTTATTTATCGATACTCAGGATATATTTAACACAGTGAAACCTCAGTTCATGAATTTAATTTTTGCTCAAAGCTGTTCTTCTACTGAAATGCTTGTAAATATAAAAAATTTTTTTCATAGGAATTACTGTAAAATGGATCAATTCATTCCTAGATCAGAGGTGATTACTTATTTAAACTTTAAAATGGTAATTTTGTGCATGAAAATTATATCAAACATAAACGGACAAAATCAAAACAAAAATCATTAAATATAAGACAGAAAAGACAAGCACAGCATTAAGCAGATAAAATAAATGACCTCTTAATTTTACTGCTCGTGTATGAAAAAGAGAGGTTGCCATAAGTGGAGACTAATGAGGAAAATGTGGAGAAATTTCCCTTTCACAAAAACATTAGGGAACACCTTCTTTTAATTTTTCTTTGTCTTTATATATTACTCAACTCTGAGACTCGCTGCACCTTCGTTTCATGCAAAATTTGTCGCGATCTGTCGTTATAGCTACATTTTAAAACACTTCTCAAGCAAAGCTGACGTCATTGAAAATACTTATGCTGTGGTTTATTGGAGGAATATTGTCATGTGAAAACTTTGTACCTCAATCATTTTCAACAAATTTCATGGATTAAATAATTAGGAGAATTTTCTTTTTGCCCTCTTCTTCTGAAGAAATTCTGTTCACAACTCTGCCCTTTTTTGCTGCTTTTAAAGTTGTTGTAGTCCTTTTTTGAGGAATTAGCTTTTAGGTTACTGCAATAACTTTTCCACATCTTCTTTGTTAACTTCCTAGCTAAACGCTTTGCATAGAGATACTAAAGCAAATAAAAAATGTCTTAGCTGTCAAAGTGTGTGGCTGCAAACCAACCTGGTCATAATTTCCTCCAGACATTTTTAACATTATCTTCGTCTTTGTGACATTCAACTCTGCTGGAGATTCACTAGGCCTATGTTTTGCTCTAAATTTGTACAGTGTGATTTGTTCTTGTCCAACTTTAAAAAAATTTCTAAATTGAGACACAGCATTATCTTTGAAAATGATTATACTGTATCTTGCTACTGTTTAATTAGGTTGATATTTTTATGTAAAAACTTTGCATTTAACTTCAAAAATCAGAAAATGGCACAGTTAACACTATTGCTGACATAATTCTTTTGCAAATATGCAAAGTGAAGGCTAGATGAATATTTAACATGGAAAGATGCTTTTCTTGGTCTGGAAATGAATCAAAATTGTTGTAATGGATTAGCCATCAGTGAGCTTCAGATTATATTTATTTATTTATACGGGACTAATTTATTTTCAAGGTTAGGAAATGCATATTTTATAAAGTTTTAGAACTTTAATTATTATTATCACAATGAAAAATAAATTATTTATCTAACTGTTTACTTTCTATCTATTCTTATAAATGTTACTATATATAATGCACTTTCTGCAAAATCCTTATTTTGCAGGATGATGCTCTAGTTTATTTTACACAATCTGCAGTTGCATTGTTCTCTCCGCTGGGCTCAGAAATCCTGTCTTCTCCTTTACATCGCACGGTTTTAAGCTGTTGTGAGTAAGATTCGATGCCTAAGTTGATAGAACCATTTCTGTGATTTGTTTTTGAAATGTTCCACAAATTGGTCATACAATAGAATTAGTCTATTCACATCACTGACAGAACACATATTACTAAGATATACCTTGATTTCCACATCACCGGGAATAGCACAACACTGCTCACTACATTAGAAAAAGTCCAAGTTTCACAAAGGTATTGCTTTTCCAATAGTTGTAAATAAACAGTTGTCACTATTACAGTTTTATCCTTCATAATTCAGATCTCAAACTGAGAATCTGATTTTTAAACATAAATATTTACAGACAGCCAACTATAATATGGACAAACGAAAGCCAGGGTTCCCAATTAACGAGGTGTGTTTTAAGAAAATTCCAGTCTATCTGCATAGTGCACGTTGGCTGTGCTGAGAGGTAAATTAATTATGGAATCACTTGAAAATACAAAAATTTGCAAATTACGTATGACTTATCCCCAAAGCATTATTATTATAACTATAAATAGGAGTTGTTTTCTCCATTGAAGATTGAGATTAGAATCTGCCCAATCTGGATTAAAAAATGACTTTTTTTGCACACATTTTGAAGCTAAACGAAAGAAAGAAACCTATTTAATGATATTTTAAAGTAAATTCCAGTATTTTATATTTATTTAGCAGCACACATGAGCAAAAAATATGAAAATATGTTCATTAAATTCTATGATGATATGTCATCATACTGCTGGAATTAGTTTCAGGAGTATGCCAAAGAAAATTGCCTGAAATTTGAAAGTATTATTAACTAATAATAAATATATTTAGAAGGAAGAAGCCACATTAAATGATATGAATAATATTAAAATAAATTACTTAAAGATTAAAAACTGAATTACAATAATCAACAATATTTTGGTGAATATAATTATATTAATTGGTTAGCCTTGATCACTGATTACTATTTAAAAAAAATTAATTTACTGCAAAGTGACAAATAATAATAATAATAATAATAATAAAAAAAAAAAAAAAAAAAAAAAAGAGAAGAGAAAAAGAAAATTTTAAAATTTATATTAAAAGATTTTGTGGTAAATTCCTAGTATATGGTATGGCCTCGGCATAATTTTGAAAATTGTCGCCAACACCAAAATGACCTGTTTACTGCTCATCATACCATCGAATTCCATGTGTACCATATTTTTAGGATTAAATGGATTTTGTTTTATACACAAATAGGAAGGTATTTCCTTTCGTTGTACATGCACTGCACATATCCATGCAAATTTCTCGATTCTTGAGGTTACTGGAAACCAAAGTTGTTGGAAACTTGCTTGCCTTTTTAAAAGACAATCTGATTGGAACTGTGAAGATTGGCTCTACACCAGCTACCCGAATGACACTCATGCAATAAATAATTCACCAAGAATGTGATCACTTCCAACAGTTGCATAAAAGTCGCCTTTTTGGGGAATTGCTGTATGAAATTCTCCGACTTTTCCAAATTTTGACTAAAAAATTTAAATTCCCTGACTTTTCCCGGTTTTTCAGGTAGTGTGGTAACTCTGGGGTGGGTGGGGTAGGTGTAAATTTCTAATAAAATTTGTAATTATGTAATATATAGTAATATATAATAGTAGTATAGTATTTTAAGTAATACTAGAATATTACTTAAAATTATTAATTGAAATTTTAAACATTCAAAATGAATCAATGCACTTATGTGAAAATGTACAAAATACTTAAAATCTGGCACATATTTGATTTATATTGCATTTTATTCATTCATAAATTTTTGTATAAGAGTGTATTTCCATTGGACAATATTTCCGTTACATCACAGAATGTTTTTCATTCTCTCCCCCCCCAAAGCTACCTTTTCAGCGGCACAAAGAAATTTTAGCAAATAATCTAAAACAGACACAATATATGTAGGCATTTTATAAATGATTAAAAAACACATGATATTTATCTTGAAATAATAGTAAATAAAAACAAATACACAAAAGTTCTCGACCTTTGTTCATTACATAGTTACAACTCCCTCAATCCCTTTTTGTAATCTGCTTTTGTTATGACATTACCTTTCACTAAAACCCTAAACAGCCCATGCATTTACACGGCAGTACTTAAATTTGTAATAATAATCAAAGGAGAGATAGATATTTGCAATACTTTCAAAAAACAATAGGAAGCTTTTCTTCCCCCATGCATTTTCTTCCCCCTAAATTACATACTTTTGTTGCTTTCACACTGGGATCTTTGGAAACAACACCAGTTCCGCTGCAGGGAGCATCACACAGAACTCTGTCGAAACCTGCCATCGTCTACAAAATAAAATTACAGATATTATTTCTGTAATAAATACCCTTTTTGCACATATTTTAAACTTGTATTAGATATACACAAATATCAATTAAACAAACCCATTAACTTTTTTTTAAAAATTTTCTCACTAATTACTTAAAAAATAAAATCAGACATGGGTAGTGTTCCCTCTAATTTTTGACTATAGATGTGTACAGTTTTTTACTACATGAATTATTTGCACGGCTTTTATTTTTTACTCTTACATCAAAATTAACTGTTTTAATAACATTCACTATTTTTAAAACCACACATTAAAATTTTAAAAATTAATTATACAAATGAATATTAATATATATGAAAACAATTATTTACTAAAATAATAATGTAATAGTAATATTGTTTAGATTTATCAGAAATAAATTAATAAATGAATGCTACATTTGGACGAGTATACACTGAATCTCTTCTCTTCTATCTTTAAAATTTAACTATTCAGCATATATGCAATCCAAATTTATACTGTTTCCATTACTTAAATATGATTCTACTTGCATTAACAGGTCTATGTGATTTTATTTCTTCAAACAAACAATACAATACAAGTGAACGCATTAAATACCACTGAAATTTTAACGAACACATATAATAGCGATGGGGGGGGGAAGAAGAGTGATGTAAAAATGCAATTATTATTATTACTATTATTTCGATTAGTGAAATGTTTGTATGTAAATGTGTAGGGTATTTTTTGGTGCTAAATTTCATACACTGTGTTGCATGTGTATGCACGCAAAATTTTAAAAATTTAATTTTGCACACTACTTGAATGGGGGGATACAATATGTTTTTAATTAGATATATCATGAACTCAATGCATTTTTACTGAAATTAGTCTGAAAATGTAAAAATATAATATTCTTGAGAACTGCTTATATTGCTTTTCAATAGCTTAGTTTGTTGATCAGTAACAGAGAGATTTAATTTGAAAGATAAATATCTTACATTTTGATGGACGGCAACAAACCCGAGTGAAAAGTAAATACCGTATTTGACGGCATATAAGACGCACCCGTTTTTAGAAGGAAGGAAAAAAAGTTTCAATAGTCCACCACAATAACTTAAAATGTGGTTCTTTTAGTTCTCACATTTCGTAAAAGCCAAATAAACAATCATTGAATGCAATTACCAAACATATTTTTATTAAGGAAAATTAACAAACGGCAAGCTATTTTGAACATGATATGTAAATTTCAATAATGAATAAATAAATATCTTGTTTATTGTAGTCATATTTTCCAGGGTATTTTTTTAAAAACAAATAGTTTTAAGCACCGATACCGACACGTTTATACAGAGTAGCACTGATACTGACACGTGTGTCGGCTGAGTCAAAGAAAGTCTATGTAAAGAAGGAAAGGTTCCATAGACGTAATGTCACCATCGAACCTGTTTGAACTTCGACATCAGCTTCGAACTTTGGCGCTTTTTGGCACCAGATATTTCACGCATGCGCAAAATAATTATGGCAGATGTAGAAAACGTTATGCGTGTCTAAAACTTTATCCGGGCTAAAAATAGCATTCAGTATTAAAAGTTAACCTTTGTAATTCCCATATAAGACGCAGGTAACTTTTTTGAGACCAAATTTAGGAAAAAAGTGCGTCTTATATGCCGTCAAATACGGTAAGTGCAAAATCATGTTTTGAGACTAATAGCCCTTTAAGACTAGTAAAAAGATAGATTTTTGACATTTCAGTGAACACATAATTTTTTTTTTTTTTTTTACTTTCTCACTTTTTCTTTTCTGTTATTCCAAGTATTAAGATCCCCCCATTTTTAAATCAGCAGTTCTGTGACAGATGTGCTTATACAAGCCTTAATCATGAATGCTAAAAACTATCCAGTGGAAGTCAATATGCTAATTAAAGCATTAGTTTATAAAACCAGGAAAGAAAAGTAATATAAAAATTATTTTTATGCTAAAAAATTTTGAAATTACTTTCACGCTTTACAATGTATCCACTGAGACCTAGAAAAAATCAAAACCAATAACCTATAAAATGTAATAACAAAGGAAATAGATGTTCAGTTTTAAGTAAAAAAATCTTGTTTAATTTTAGTGTCGTAAGAAAGACATAAAAAGATTAAGCATTTGGTTAAGAACCTATGTAACTGAAAATCAATTTCACTGTTTACAAGACATAAAAAAAAAAAAAAAAAAAAAAAAAAAAAAAAAAAAAAACTAACTAATGAAAAAATGAGAAAAAAGCATAAAATGAATTAATTCACAAAGAAAACTGACACATTGCTGAACATTTTGATACAAACAGAAAGGGAAAATCCTTTATCGTAAAAAAATGAGAAATTAAACAAATAAAATTATGATAACTTTTGCATTCACATTAAAATTTTAGAACCAAGCTATACAAATTTCTCAAAATGATAGATACAGGTATTTTAAAACATTACAGATGAAAGTAAAAATGTATTTTAATGTTGTATTTCTAAAATAATACAATTTTTAATAATGTGAACTAATATAACTTTTATGTTAGTTAAAATTATACATGAGATTTGCATGTCGCCGAATTAATGTTTTTTGTTAGTAAACTGGATAAAATAAGTGATTCTGCCCTGTTTAATTTGCTTTATGTGGCTTACAGCAAAGCACACTACAACTATCTGACTATTGGGAAAGACGTCTTTGTGGAGGGCTTTTTAAGAGAAACTCGCTTGCATTTGCGTCACACACGAGGAAAACCAGGTAAACTCTCATGTAAGCAGAGGAAACGACTAGAATTTAATTGTCCAATTTGGCAAAAAAAAAAAAAAAAAAAAAAAAAAGTAGTTCAATGATCTGGAAATTTTTTAATGTTAAATTCTTTAGCGTCTGAGTACAGTTAAAGAATTCATATTCCTAGCTAGAAAAAATTTTAAAGTTATTTTTATGCTAAAAAAATTCTTTTAAACCACTTTCATGCTTAACATATCCTCCCTCAGGGCTAGAATAAATTAAAGTCAATAATTTATCACTCAGTAGACTTAAAATGTAATAACAGTAATTTTATTTTGAGCAAGTAAAAAAATATTCTTGTTCAATTTCAGTGCAATAAAAAAGAGAAAGTGAGGAAAAAACGCATACGAGATAATAATTTTAGCAGATTTCATAAAAACAAAAGTTCATAAAATTTGGTATACATGCAAACACTTACTAATTTCATTGTTTAACTTAGTTAATTTTTTTATTTTTTCTCTAGGAAGTTTATTTAGCTGTAAAAAATCTTTACTAAAATATAGTAAATTACACAAAAAAATTCTAAAGTAAAAAAACTCATTTGAGCTTTAAGCCACAAAATATATTGATTATTTCGATTTTTTGAACTTCCAGATAGGATGTAGACTTACTTGGTTCACATAGAACATTTTTTACTGAAGATAAAAATATCAAATAATATATCATAAGCACCTTTGAAAAATTTCGTCCATCCTGAATGGACACTATGGTGTTCGTCACGCCCAAGCGATGGAGGTTTCCAACAATGGCCTTCGCTCGGTCTTTCACTGCATCATTCGCAAACAGTACACCTGTGTTCTTCATTAGGGCAGCTAAAAGTATTTAAATCATAGTTTAAAATATAATAAAAATTGAATAAAATTTTCAGAAACAAAGCAACAGCTAACAATTCACACAGCTGTTCATTGATATTTTGCACAGAAATAATATTTATGCTTAAAAATAATCAATAACAACAATTCAATATTATCTTTTATTATTCAGATAACAGCAAAGCATTCTGTGAGGAGAGATGTTTTCAGCTAAACTGGTTCACATTCAAGTTGTATGTGGGGAAAATGCCAAAAACTTGTAAACAAGCCAGGCTTATTAGCAGAGATTTGAACATGGGTTAAACTAACAATATTTGGGGATTTTACTGCTCAGCCACTGGTGGGCTAATTCTTCAATAAAAACTCTGCATACATAAATGTAGTACCAAAATTAACTACATTTAACTGCTGATTTTCAAACTTAACTCTTCATCAAAGAATACTTCAAAAGGCAAGATTTGCTTTCTAATTTTGTCAAAAAGGGAAACACCTTTTAAATATGAATAAAACTAATTAAAATAGCTGAATAATGAATTAAAATATAAATAAGAAAATATTTTAGTTTTCTGGACAGAATTTAGTACCCCATGTTTCGTAAATACATTGAAACATAAAACATGAAAGGCAATCACTCGATTGACTGACGATCATCTACAATTAGTGATAAAGATAATTTCTATTAAGTTTTAATTAATTAAGTTTTCTGCAAGTCTTCAAACTTTATTAAAAATAATGAAGCTTATAACTATATTTGCAGGCAAAGATATGTATTTTAATTTATGTGCTAAAGAAAAATCTAATAAGTAAAAGAGACTTGGTTTTCTTTATTTATTTTCAAATTTCATTCCATTTTGAAAGTTTTTGTTATTTATTTATTTATTTATAAATTAAATTAAAATTAGTTATTTACCAATTAATGAAACATACTAAATTTATTTGAAATAAATGACAGTCAGAAATATTAATCTTTAGTTGCTAATATGCGTGGATTACAAAGTATAATCTATAAAAATGAACCACAGGCACCAAACTTTAGATTTCAGACAGAAAATTAATATAAATTTGAATTTTTTCCATTGTGGTAAGATTATTTATGCATGCTTTGATAAGTATTTAATAAGAAAAAATTTTAAATTAGTTAAAATGTTTAAAGCCAATTTTAACTTACAATGTAGAATAGTAGACAGAGAGTACAGAATTAAATTTTAATCTAAGCTGGCTCAGAAATTTTAACTGGCATATCAAATTCAAATGCTGGCAGCGATAATGCAAAGCTGAATAATTACAACTAATCAGAGCTGTCAGGAATTAACATAAGGCTTTGTATGATTATTTGTACATATTACATGCACCGTGTAAGGCAGAAACATGCTCTGTCTTACAGTCCCAAAGCCTCAGTTTAATACTATCAGACTGATTCGCATTCTGGTTAGGAAACTGAATGAAGTTACTGTAAAGGCTGAAATTATAAATAAGTGAATAATATTAATAATAACTGTATAGATATAAAAAAGGATATCATTCATCCCACCTCTATTTGAAAAGATAATTTTTTACAGAGTACTAACCTATGTGGGTTGTCTTTCCCCCTGGAGCAGCACATAAGTCAAGAATTTTCTCGTTTTCCTTCGGTGCCAGTGCCATCACGGGTAACAGGGAAGCAGCTCCCTGCAGGATGTAATGCCCAGCAAGATACTCTGGAGTTGCACCTACAGGAAAAATATAATTATATATTCAAAGCTTCATAATTATAAACTAGAGATTAGACAGAATAGTGACTCAATATTTGAAAATATTAAAATGGTTAATTTAATCATTCTTTGAAGTGTCATGATTTAAGAACAGCACAGTTTGCTCTTGAATCATTAAGCAAATAACAAACTCATTAAATCAGAAGTACAAATTCAAGAATTTTACACTTTGTGAATGGCAACACTCCCCTTTACAAAACTGCAAGAAGTATAAATAAAAGATCTGGTATTTTGCATAGTGCATGGCTGATAGTAACTTATCCACCAAGAACAACTGGTTCACAAATTCCAAGTTAATCATAGGAAAGAGGATGAGTATGCTTGTCATTTGGTTAAAGCCTCGAGTACCTTGTAATTAACACTAAAACTTACCTAATCCATTGTAATTCAAACCAATTGCATCATAAGGATGGTATCCAAGTACTTTCCATTACAAATAATCTTTTGACAAAGTTTTTGGTTCAATGGATTTTAAGTACCCACATGTCACAAAGATGCTACACATTTACAAATGTTTATGCACTGTCCAGGATTCAAACCATAACAAGTAACACAGCACTTACAATCACGAACACACAAATCAGGAATTAAATTATTACAGGATTCGTAAAAATTTTTGCACATGGAAGTTAAATACTTTTAAGGACCATGAAAAATTAAGGACTAATGGGAATTGCATAAATTCAATTAAAGATATTATCAATGTTTTACCTTCACTTTTGTAATATCATCCTAAGAATAAAATAGGTTCGTATGTATCCCCTCCCCCCCAAAAAAAAAACAACTAAGGACTTTCAAGGACTCCATACAAAGCCTGTATTAAGAACTGCATGTTTTGCTCTCGAATCACTGAGTTAGTTAAGCGATTTACAAGCTCACTAAATTTGAAAGATAAATCAATGAATTGTTATGCTATCCTGAATGGCAACACTCTGAGAACAGCCTATTTATGAAGCTGCAAGAAAGAAAAAAAGTGATCTTGCATTCAGAAGGAAGGTAACATTTGTACGGTGCATTCATTATTTTGTTTTCTTCAGTGGTGGATTAGACTGTTGAACAGTGGTAGTTTGACCAGTTCTGATCCTATCATAACAATGATAATGTAAATACAAGTTTGTTGTTTCAGTCAAAAAAATCCTCCAGAAAGGTATTGCTCCCTTTAGCAAATATTCCTTGATGACCTTTATTAAATCAAACAGTCCATTAAAAATATATCTCACTTTATGTTGAAATAAAAATATAGAAAAGGAACAAATTACTAATTTTGCGCAAAATTGTTTATTTTAATTCGAAAAGCTTGATGCTTAATTTACAGTTTAATACATCTTTCTTAATGTTTTCTAAATTTTTTAATCTTTTGTTTCGAGAAACAGTCACAAACACAGAGAAAAAATAAACTTTGGTATTCGTTTTTCTTTTTTGAGGGGCCGGGAACTAAGTCTCACAACTAAATACAAGTAAATTTTTACTGTACAAGTATACATAACTTTTTTTACATTTATCTAAGCCATTATGCTTTATGAAAATCATAATGAACAGTAACAGTAGTACCAAGTGGCCCATTTCTGAACTATTTGAATTCTTAAACAAATGCATTTTTATAATATCAAACACAAATGAAAGTTCTTAACTGTCATTGATATCTTTTCATGTTGGATGCAATTCTTTTTCAAACAAAAAGCAGTAAAACTTTTTAGGTGTTTAGAAAAAGGTGGAAGGTGGCCATTCATTCATTACAAAAACAATTTAAATGAAACAGAAAAAATATGCTCACCTATAGGAACCTGCGAATCGTACACCACCAAGCCGACTTTGGACCACTTTCCGACGGGATCCAGATTCACCCCTCGATTGATCAAAGCCTTGAAAAGTGGTGAAAAATATAAAATATTAGCACCTTACACATTAAAAATATCATTTTAGATTGAGTATAATTGTATTTTAAATAATCAAGCCCTGCCTAAAAAATTAAATTTGCTAATCATGAAATAGTATAAAAATTATTATAGCAAACTATAAGCATAAAAGAAAACCGTCTGCAGAAAATACAAAAATGAAATAAATATATAGGATAAAAGTAGTAAGTGTAAACCAAAACTCTGTTAGAAAACAACAATTATCAACTTTTTTACTCAAGTCTGAATTCAGGATACTGTTCCTTAATTGTTATAATTCTTATTATTAATTCTAATGCTGCAAAAATGTCTTATTGTAATATTGTTGTTATGTAAATTGTAATGTTGTTTCTTAATGCTTATGTAATTCCTGTTATTATTTATAAAGCTGTTCCTTGCACATATAAATTTTAGGAATATTGTAATGTAAATTGTAACGTTTCAAAAATGTATTATAAATTGTAACGTTGTTCCTTATATGTCATAAGCAAGCCTACGAATTTCCAACAAATCGAATGTGTGAATGCCTGAAACTCGCTAAGGTACGAACTGCACAGGAATGATAACGGAAGAATTACAAAGTAGAGGAGAAATTCAACTCAAAGTTGGATACAATTTTTGAGGCTTGGCGATAAGATTTAATGAACATTAAAAAATATTAAATGAAGATAGATCCATTATTTGATTGTTTCATTTTACAATACAGCTCAAACTTCGTGCAAAAATGAGCAGTAAATTTAACTCTTTCGCATCGAGAGAGGACCACATCTCTTTTATTCAAACATCGAAAACGCCCGTGTATACGAATTTCTGTTGGAATGCTTTTTCTTCCCCCAACACAAATTGAACACTACAGCACTAACAATAACCTACTTAAGTAAAGCGACAACTTCTTTCTTGGACGCTTTCACCCTATGTGAAATTCCCCCTTGGGATGGGATTGCAACTTCGGTCATAAATAGCTAAACATTGACAGTAAACAAAGGGAAAAGAAGATGTGTTAAAATAACAGAACTATTTTTAATCGCTTGAAAAGAATGATTGACACGTCATTTAAGAACTCTTGAAAGCAATGAGCAATGCAGTAACGTGGTGGGGAAGAGCACTAGGTAGGAAATTATTGAGGCGGTCGGGGCGACTTTGATGTGAAAGAGTTTAATGAATCAATTCGTAAAATCAACCAACAACCAAACGTGCACACTAGGGTTTCGGGTAAAAATGTCAATCAGTTGAGTTTTGGTGCCACACACACTTTTTTTTTTTTCTCTTTGCCTTTACTAATATAATTGCTGCAATACAAACTGTAATGCAAATTGAAATATTGTTCCTTATTTTGCACATCATTTTTATAATTAATTGCAGTATTCTTAGTTTAAATGCAAATCATAATTGTTGTTTCTTAATTCCTACTTAATAAATTAATATTATAACACATATTCTTAAAGATATATATAAAAGCTTGTTTATTTGGAATCCTAGAAAAAATTACAAGCAGAAAATTTTCACTTTTAAATAATGTCTAGTGCCATGAACATATGAAACTAAATCAGTGAACCAAATTGAAAACTAGATTCAAAACCAATTTCAACATCTCTGTTCATTTTTGCAATTTTTAAACATAAAAATGTTGCAAAACAAAAAACCTTAAAAATATTTAAAAATATACAGTAGAACAGTGGCGTGGCTGGAGGCGTTGTTGCCCTTGCCCAGTAGCACATTTTTCGGGAAGGCATCTTTCGCACTTCCAATATCTTTATTTTATTGAAACTATTAAATGAAAATTAATTAATATTGACTAAATTGCAATTAAGGTGACATTCGCTACGACATAATTTAAGTATTGCAGAGTTTTATTTCCAATGTTGTTGGGAAAATCTAAACAAGAAAGTGCAGCAACCTTTTCAAATTATTTGCAGCTTATTCTAAAATACAATCTCTGGAACAAAGTTCCAAATATTGTTATACTGTTGTGAATTTTTCTTGCCATCACCATAAGCACTGCTGGTTGACAGAAGAGTTTTCTAAATAAAAATAATTTAAGGAGTATTTATGAGAAAGCTTTCTATACTGTCTACATTATGGCAATTGAGCAATCCAGCAGTTCAATGGTTTTAAGAACACCCCCCCAAAAAAAATTAATGTTAGAACTAAGATTTTTCTTAAAAACATCCTTTTTGAAAACTACTCCAATAAACCTGTTCTGTGTTAGATATGCTAACAATGTCTTGCAGTTTATTGTCAATGAAGAAAGAAAAAGTTGCATCCAGTTTTAACAACAGCCTATTCTAAGAAAAAAAGAAAAAAATTTCACACCACAATTCATCATAAACTGCAGCTGCCAACCTTGAAATATTAAAAAGTGGATAAAAAATCTGAATGTTTTTCACACTGCATGGTGACACCATTTCAAAGGAACTTCAAACTGATTTTAATTCACCTTATAATGTATGGTTCTGTTATTGAACTATTTGTAATTCAATTTTGATATAAAATATATTAGCATTTAATTGGATGTCAAGAAAACCTTGAGGAGCGAAGGAAAGCTTCTCATTCTCAAAGTACTTTTAAATATGATGAAAATAAAACTAACAATTAATGTAGATAGTAATTATGTGGATAAACTTTGTCATGTATTACATATTAAAGTAACCAAAATTAAATGCAACTATTAACTGATTAAACATTGCTCGAATCTTCACATAAAAATTTACAAATGTTTACAGTAGATTAAGATAATTCAGATGAAAGAAAATGTAATAAATTGCTGGGAATTTACTAAATTACTGTTGTTATTTAACTATTATGCTATTAAACTGCGCAAACTACAATTTGTCCCAAATGATGAAATGTAATTTTTTAAAGAAAATTTACAATCACAGCATTAGTTATTAATAATTAAAATGGTTTAAATGTATTACATGGGCCAGGTCGCCACGCCTGGTTTTTAGTGTGTTGGCTCTTATGGTGACTGGTCGCTGAACTTCGTTTGCTTCCAACAGTTCCACCAACTGAAAAATGCAAAAATACATTTCATTAGTTCTAAAAGTATTGTTAAAAATAAACAAGATATGTAAGTTTTCATTAACAATCGAATTTAACACATTCACTGCTTAAGCTGATATGGTGTGGCCATTCATGCATGCCAAGATCCTATTTGCACTTTTATGCTTTTAAATTATTTTCTGTTGTTTTATTAATTTAAACATTGATATAACAGACAATTTTGACCAGTAAATAAAGTCACTCATAGTTCCATAGTTCAATTTAATCAAATTGTAACATATTATAAAAATATCCTCTACTTGCTGTGATCTTCGGAATATGTCATAAACAGATATGTTTTTGTATCCTAAATATTTAGTTATTTTATTAACATTTTAAGAAATAAACAGTTCACTTCAGTATGCCAAGTGTATTATTTAACTCCTTCCTATACACCAGAGACATAAACATTGTACACATTTGCTACGGCAGTACTCATACTTGGTGATTTAGGTAAGGTGATCGCCTATGAATCTTCTTGTAGATGGCAGTGAACATGTTAATAACCTTTATTTTTATAACTCAAAAATAATATTCACATTATGATTCTGAAGAGCATATATAACATTTAATGTGCTAAGCATTTAAATACATGAATTTAAAGTTATGTCAGAACAGGGATTTATAGCAGGGTCAATACTGAGTCTGCTGAGGAGTCGGTGAAATTTTAAACAAGATCAATGATGACCAATGGGTAAACCGGGGATTGGTTGCCAAATACGTATCGTCAATTCATTGACATAATAAAGATTAATTAATCATTGACTGAAGAAATCATCAAAAAAATTAATAACCAATTGTAAATTATTTAATACATTTTTAAGTCAATATTACTTTTTTTTTATGCACACATTTTTTTAAGCAATAAGTGCAGTATAAAAGAGCAATATGTGAGATAACACAGTAAAAAAACATGAAGAACGATAAACAAGAAACAGGCTGAATATTTTTGAAAGAGGCGATTTGAATTTAAACACTTTTATGCCAATGTTAAAAAAATTTGCATCAATAAGACAAACACTGCCATGATATTCATTGAAATCAAAATTTTGTGCAATTAGAACATATATGATTTTTTTTTTTTTTCCCTGAACACTTGTTTATGTCTGTGTAAAAATTAAAAATACAAAAATATAAAAAATAATTAAACAAAGTCTAATGAACCATTTCTCCCAAAACTTTTGTTCATATTTTTAGTCTAAAGACCCGTTTCCATTAGCACATTGTGAACGCAAAGCGTCATTGGGAGAAACGCATACACAAGTTCGGTGGACGATTGCATTTATTGCTATCAGATGTCTCTGTATTTAATTTATGAGCTTCAGACTCTTAAGATATTAAAATTCCATGTTATTGGAAATTTTTATTTCTGCTTATGAACTGTTAAAGTAAAGTACACTAGCAATTTTTAGATAAGTAAGGTTATACAGCATATTATAAACATCACTAATTGCATAGAAGCTGAAGTAAACTTTCATTGCGTTTCTAGAAACCTTAAATATTAATGAAATAAAATATATATTATTAAAACTAAAATTTACTGTCACTGAAAAACTAAATAAATAAATAAAATAAAAAAGTTAAACGAATTAAAAAAAATAGTTGGTACTTTAGAAATACAAAGCAACTGTAAAGAAATGTTCACAATATTTACACAAGCTGGATAATTAGAAATCTCGTTTGTTTTAAAATGCACTATGCACAGTTATATTTTATGTTTAATCCAAAAAATATTATTTTTAATTCATATATCTTTTTATAGAAGTAAAGAAAATGGAAATATTTAATTAATTAATTCCTGTGCTTCTGCTGGAGAGGACTGCATTTAAAGCAATTATTATAGTAAGTTTTTTTTTTAAAAAAAATTTTGGGCATTAATACTGTCTCATGTCAATTGGTAGTGAAAGTTTAGAGCTGAGAACATCCCAAACTCTCAGCACATGTATGTACATTCACATAAAAGTGAAAAGAAAAAATATGTATATATGTACAGGAAGCATGCTTTAAATTCGTATTATATAATTTTCAAAATAAATTTCTTGCGTGGAAAATTTAAATAAATAAGAGCATAAATAAAACATTATATTTAATGCATATAATAATAAAAATAAATTATAAAACACAAATATAGATCAAATTGGAACAAGAAGCTAAGAAAGTTGCAGACAGGGTAGAAGAAGCATATGGGATTCGAACTCACAAGCCCAAAAGTTAAACAATGCTACCCGTCAACTTTACCACTAAGCTATCATCATACAGGCACAGTATGCAATTTTGGCTTATATACATCATCAAGTAAATGAATTCTTAAAACTAAATATTTTGGTCCTATTTCAGTGTGCTACCGTCTAAAAAATTCACCAGAGTTCAGCTTCTAGGTCAACCCCCCCAAAAAAAGCATTATCTTTTAAAGTGGCATTCCGACTGATATTAAACAGGTTGCTAAAAGTATATTCCATGCCCTTACAAATATATGTTAGCCAAAAAGTTATATTTATAAGTAGAGAAACACAAATTTAACATACTCCTTAACACAGTGAAATATTTATAAGGCTATCAAATTTAATTTATAATTAACGTTTTTAGTTTTTACCTGTTTCAGAAGAAAAAATAACAAATCTTTTAATGCCATATCTGATTTGCTACAGTCAGACATTCATTTTCATTAAAGGTAAATAAATGTGTATGCAGAATTAGGAAATAATTATCAGGACAAATTTGTTATTTCATGGACTAAAACAAATTTTGCTATTTCATGGACTTGGAATTATATTTTTTTGGGCCTGATTTTCTTAAACTGAATTTCTTGAATGCCTGATTTTCTCTGTCAACTAGTACTATAGTTGCAGTTATCTTATTTTTTTTTAAATCTTTTTTTAAAACTAAATTCAGTCGATGGCTGTCTTTTTCAGTACGCAGATTTCTCGCTATAATGTTAAATCAGAAATAAGTATTTTTTAGCAAAACATTCTTTCCCTAAGCCAGCGTTCATCGCTACTTCTACCACCATTAATTTTTGGTGACAACACCTGATTGCTTCTTTTTTACCATGTGACCATCCGCAGACATATGGATAGAAGTTGAACTGCATCCGTCACTGCACATCGCTTAATGATTGGAGAAACACATACGCACCACAACGCATACACAGCAGTGGAAACGGGTCTTAACTGTCACCTTTACATTATTTATGTGTAATTATGTGTATTGTACTATGATTTGGTTGTACATTAGAGAAAAATGAAGTGGTCAATGAAGAAAGCCATTTCTTTAAAAGAGGTTGATGCAAGAAAAAGGTTGGGAATTCTCTGTGTTAGAAATCATACTTGAAAAAGCTCAATTTTATATTGCAAAATAAATGCAATAGTTCAATTTTTTTTTTTAACCATATAGTTTGTAAACTTTAGGAAGAGTCTCTTTTGGTTGCCTTGCACATTCTATTTCCATCATATAAATGGCAATAAATGATGTTTGCTACAGGTTAATGTGCTCTTTAAGTTTTCAGAAAATTGCATTAGATAGTTATGGTAGGTTTAAGTTCTACATACGTAGCATGTTTTTAAATTAAGAGTCGTTATATTGTACACACTAATACATGTCACATGGGTGGCAATGAGTGCTTGCAGAAATAAAAATAAGTGCCGTCACTCATTTACCACACCAAAATAGATTAAGTCGAGGCTTTCGGAAATAAAAAGGGAACTATGCGATATATAAGCAATGAAAGCAGTGAAAAGCATAATAGAACTGCAAATAGTAAAAGAGACAAGCACTGTTTGTTTACATTATGGTTTGGCTCCACCCCTACAACAGCTGACACCAATGTTATGCCAAATGGGATCAAACTGAAGATCAGCCTAAAAATAGTCAGTTCAAATATAATGGACACAGGGTGCCACCTGTTGGTCTTTAAAACATGTTTCAGCTTAAAATGCGTATATGAATCACACATCCCTTACGTTAGTTTTCCAGTGATACGTGGGTTGCTGAAAGTATCCTGAAAGGGTTTATTTATAAAACAAAGAATAATCTAAATTTAAAAATATGTACAGTAAAAGCTCGATTATCCAGCATTCAACTAACCGGAATATTTTAACATCTTAGAAAAAAAAATTTCCTCTGAAAAATTTAATAAACTTGATTTGAAACACCATTATAGATCTTGTTTTAGAAATAGATTTTCGCTAAACAGTGTAATTTAATGCCAACAATGAATAAGCATAATATCACAATATAAACTAAAAAGTTTGTTTTTGTTTAATGTAAACTCAATTAATTCTGAATAAGCTGGTTAATTTTTATGGACAAGAATATAAGAGTTGCCACTTGTAACAGGAGAATTAAATTCCAAGACTTTTCCAGGCGTGTTTTAAGATAATTAGAGTCTAGCTGCATAGTGCACATTGACTGTGCTGAGGGTAAATTAATTACAGTATTACTTGAAACCATAAAAATTTGCTAATTATATACGACTTTGAGGAAAAAAAACTTAATCCCCAAAGCATAACTATTATAACTATAATAGGAGTTTTTCTCCTTGCCAAACTAAGAAAACTTGCTACATAATAGTTACACATTAAATCAACACTCTCTTCAGCAATCAGTTGCATCACAAAATTAGTTAAGTTCAAATAAATGACCTTTTTAATTACATGAAAAAGAGTATATAATATCAGAAATGATCAATAAACATCAATAAAAAAATTTGCACAAAACTAAATTTGTTGTTTTAATTCTGCAATTTATGAGTCAATTCAAGAAACATATTTGCGCATTTTTTTAAATTCCGAAATTTTAATCTGCGCTTGTGTTTTTCCTTTCTCTGATAATTTTTTTTTAATCTTCACTATCACACAGTTTTTTGGCTTTGAGTGCTTGATGATATGCACCATGAGCAGATCTGGCATATTGTAACATATCAGAAGCTATTTATTATTCATCATACCTCCATTTACTTTAATGGCATCTTAAACAGTTAGCATTGCTGTTAAAAATTTTCTTGAAGGTTTCCTGCTAACATTATCATTATTAACTGAGAAATCACTTTCTACTATGGCATTGCCATGTGATAAAATTATAACTAGTTTTACAACACTTCAAAATCTGAATTATTAATCAAAAAGATCAAGTCACATTGCAGCATAAATGACAAAAGTGTCTTTCCAAACACCTTTAGTTCTGAATAACAATTCTTTAAACAGTACTTCTGATTTATATACAACTGTGGAATTTATCCATTCACTTTCATACAGTATGTGCAGTAACCTTTCAATCGTTTTCTCCTAAACAAATTCATTACACATAATGAGCTTAAGATCTAATGAAAAATGTATTTCACTAAACTATACTTAACTGAGCTTCTTTCAACTATTTTTGATGCAAGCTTAACCAAAAGGTTCTGCGAACATTTCCACAAACCTTCAAGATGGGAAGGATTCCCTAATGGGATCAGATGTTCTACTTTCATGTTTAAGAAATATGTCAGATTTTAAGCCTGAAAAGAAATTTTTTTTTTCAAGTTGGTAAAACAAATGAAATGTTGGTTTTATAATTTTAGTGTGGACTTTTTTTTTTTTTATTCATTTGGCTTTTCTAATGTGAATTTCATTATTTATACATTCGACCATCCGAAATATCATGTACCCAAGAATTGGCATGTCTTAAGCTTTTCAGATAGTTGAGCTTTTACTGCGTATACATTTTCCAAATTTGAAAAAAAGAGAGAATGATCTAGCAACGTTGAAAGCATGCATGGTGCAAGTTAGGTTGAAAAACCACTGCTATATGATGTTACCTGACACAGAATCTTTTGAAACATGCAACAGAAGTTTCATTGCGCTTGACATTTTGCCTATGCATACACCATACACAGTGCCATTTTTGTTTGAGTGATACTAGCATAGCCATAAAAATACTACACACATGAAAATCTACTGAGAACAAAATCATAAGCTTTGCTTTTGCAATGTTCTGTTTATAGAAATCTTGCTTTGTTGAAACTGTCAGACACAACAATTTAGACATCCTGCATTAACAAACATTATCAAAAGTAAAATGCCCAAATAAATTAATTATATTTTAGAGTACATGTACACTTTTAAAGGAAGATCTGAGAACAGAAAAGTTACACAATACGTACCTCTGAAGGTGAAAATAGCTGGAGAAACTTATCCATGAGAAATTCATTGTAGCTATAATATGTACACAAATCCTGCTTTAACTGGCTTAGATAATCTATCCGATCCCTGAAAGATAAAATTACACATGATTAAATTACATATACTAAATATCACAAGAAAAATACTACTCTTCATTGAATTCAAGACTATGATAAAAGGTAAAAATATTAAAAACTTTCCATATATTAATGAACAATGAATTAATCCAATACAGCATTTTGCTACAAAGATACAGAATCATTCAAATAAGAAATAAAATTAAGGAGTTTATTATCAACAAAGAAAAAAATTTTTTAATAGAAAATTGAAGGAAAATCTACATAAGATACATTTTTAGAAATCATGCAAATCTTACATAAACAAAAAATATTTCACTCACTTCATTTGAAATAAAATTTTGTTAAATTACACTGCTCGACATTGAAAATGCAACACCAAGAAGGAGTGGTCAGAAATTTATGCAAATTTTAGAGTAGACGCATGTCACTGAGTTATGCGAATGAAGTGAAATGCGCAGCTCTTTGATGCACGTGAAGTAAGATATAAGGAATGTGCAGAATGGGCGATATTCGTCTTGTTATTTCTGCCAGATAAATTATCGAAGAAAGTTGGTTTTTGTCCCAGAGGATACGTGTAATAGGAGAGAATGCCAGGCCGCCATCAACGAAGGCACAACGAATGCCATCAACGAAGCAGATAGACGATTTTATGAGGGTTATGGTGATTGGACTAAGAATTGGTCCTTACGTCAAATCGCTGCTGATACCATGTTGGATGTGTGCACGGTGCATCAGCTATGGCGAACATGGTTGGAACAAGGAAATGTGGGAAGAAGGAGGGGGTGCAGGTGCAGCCAGAGTGACGTCAGCACGTGTTGGTCGACGCATCTGCCGACAAGCTGTGGTGGTCCCGCAAGTCACTTGTGCCACGATTCTGCACCATGAGCAAGATACCCTGGATGCTCCCGTGTCGGCCAGAACTATTTCCCGTCAACTGGTTGAACGTGGCCTGCACTCACGGCGTCCGTTAAGAAGACTGCCATTGACCCCACAGCATAAACGCCAATGTTTAGAATGGTGCCGGACTGGAGCGATGTGGATGACAGAATGGTGAAACGTCATGTTCTCAGATGAGTCACGCTTCTGTTCATCCAGTGACAGTCGCCGCATACGTGTGTGGCATCGACTTGGAGACAGATCTAATCCAGCAGTAACTGTGGAATGCCCCACCTCACGACAACGTGGCATAATAGTTTGGGGTTCTATTGCCTACGATTCCAGGTCACCTCTAGTTCGTATTCAGGGCACTATGATGACCCAACGATACTTGGATAATGTACTGCGGCCGGTGGCAATCCCCTACCTTCAGGGGCTGCCTAATGATATTTTTCAGCAGGATAATGCCCGACCACACAGTGCTCGCACCTGCCAACATGCTCTACAAGGTATACGGATGCTTCCCTGGCCACCATACTCTCCTGACATGTCACCAATTGAACATGTGAGGGATGTGATTGGACGCCGTTTGCAGACAATGCCCCTGCCCCGTTCAGAAGATGAACTGTGGCAAATGGTTGAAAGGGAATGGAGAGCCATCCCTCAGGACACCATCCGCACTCTTATTGACTCTATGCCTAGACGTTTCTTTGTGCATTGCTGTCCGCGGTGGTAATACATCCTACTGAGCCAATGCCATTCTCGCTCTGTATTCTGACTATCATTTTGAAATAAAGATCACTTTATTGCTGCTTGCTGTCTCTGTCTTTTTTGCAAATTTCATCACTTTCTGACCACTCCTTCTTGGTGTTGCATTTTCAATGTCGAGCAGTGTATTAAGATCCACACTGAAGAGCACGTAAAATGTTTACTTCAGTAAAAAATAAAATTTTTTAATGAAATATAGGAGTAAACAGTTATTCTATTTATTAAATCATAATCTGTTTTCCCCCCAATTTAATGTAGTCTTAAGTAATTAGTGCATTATTTCATTTTTGCCATTTGCAATTAATTTAACATTTTTTTAAAGAATAAATTAGACCAATGACTTAGAAGATACTCAAACTACATGTGAGGCAAATGCATGACATGAAAAGCGCTGGTGAGATCAATTTTTTTTTTATAAAATGACAAATTTTATTAAAAAATACAAAGCACTTTAAATTTTGATTACTGTAAGCCATAAGAATAATATTGCAAAAGGGAGAAATTTCAAATTTATATTTATTTTCTTTCTGGATCTAAAGTTTGGTACGCGCAAGAAACTTCGTGAGTTATTAAAATATACTGAAAGCTAAATCTTAAATTTTGAGACTAACTTTTGTTTAAAATAGTTCTAATATGTTTAATTAAATAACTCATATGTGGAATATTGTATTGTAATTGCAAATAGACGTCTGAACATGATTTCAATAAAATCAGCTTAACAGAAAAGGGTTAAAATTAATTTCAATATTTGACACAAGTAGAGAAAGTACTTAATATTAAACAAAAACAAGAACATGAAAACACTTACTTATCTTCTTCTCTTTTAGTTTTAAAATCTGTAAGGACAGAAACTACGTCTTTGATCCTCTGGCTGACTGCAACTAGATCAGGCGGTTCGGCAAGTAATAAAAAGTTAAGATCAAAATCAATTGACATCAAGTTCATGAAGTCATAAAATGATTCTCCTCAACTAAAATATAAATTTTTCCTAGTTGGAATACTAGACAGCTAAATATTTAATTTTCAAACTGATATTTATTTCAAATAATTCTAATGTGTTAATAAATGTCTTCATTTCTTACTGTATAAGCTGCAGATACAGCTACAACATGTCATGGCATTTGTCACCCTGGAGAAAAATTATTACAAAATATCTTTATCCAATTATAGATGCTGATCGATCAACCTAGTTCTTATTAAAAAAATTATTAATTTCCAACTATGGAAAAAAGTTGTTCACAAATAAATGCATCCCTAATAAAAGTGATCATTCTTATCACAAAACGCCCTAACTGATGGACAACTCCAGACAAAGGTTAATCAAATTTATATCATCAAATCTTTGTCAAAGTACTATTTTAAAACCTTATAATACGATTTACTTAACTGTATGAATTACAAGGGGTGTTTACACATTTTTACAGGGTTAATTGATGTTTAATATGTAAAGAGTATCTTTTAAGTGTTCAGCCTGATAGCCTTAGGTAGATCTCCTTTCGAGAAACTAAAGGCACAATAGTTCATGAGTGAAACGCCCGAGAACTTCGCAGAAATACAATGAAAAGATACATATACTATACCTATATAAGACTCAATTTTTTCAAGGAATATAGTAGTACTTTTCAAAGCATGACTTGTTGCCTTGTCTTAAGGAACTTTCCCTTCCTCACTTGAAAACCATTGGGATAAAGAAATGAAATTTCTTCAGTAGATACTGGAAATAAAAATTTCCTTTGATAGTATGCTGAGTTGATTTTAACATTTCTTTCCCACTTTTCTTATTTATCATTTTATTTATTGTTGCTAAAGATGTATTTGAAGATGAATTTTGGAAACGATTTCTGCATCGGTGGATTTTCTTGTTACCAATGATTTAACTTTAAAAACAGTACATATCTTTTTTGGCTATTCATTTAGAGTCTTCTTCAGTAATGATTGGCAGTTCTTCCCTTTCTGATTAACAATGTTGCTTATTTTGCATTAAAAACTTTAATACCATGCATTTCATAATGGTTTTGAAATATGGAATAGGAATAATTCTCTTAAAAAGTGGAAAATCATATTCGTCGATCCACAGCTTCTTTAGATGTAAAATTTTGAAAGAAACAATTTAAATGTAGCACATGATATTTTTCATTTCAAATAATAAGCTGTTGCCAGAAATTATTATTCCAAAACAATTTCTTTTTTTAAAAAAAATTCAATATTGAAATTGTTAAAAATACCTAAATAACCTATGGAAATGCATTCATTTATGAAATCTGGTTTGGTTTATTGAGATTATGGCAAAGCTCACTAGGGCTATCTGCCTAAGGGGAGGGATGCCTTCATGGAGGACTTTATACGGGGAAACTGGCTCGTATACACGTCACACATTTGGGCAAAACCACTAAAACGCCCATGCAGCCAGCCCGTTCGCGGGATTCGAACCTTGGACCGAACTACTAGTGTTCAGTGACTTTACCACTCGGCCGCTTGTGGGCTATGAAATCTGGAGCATTTAAAAAAATGAAGTGACATTGAATTTGAATGATTACTTACAGTTCTTAAATTAACCTAAAATTGCAGTTTCCCAAACATAGGAAAGAAATCCAGTGTTTTTACATCTTAACTGTGATGCAAAATGCGGTAGGTTTTTAAGCAGGGCTTATTGATTGTTCAATAAATTCACTATATGCTACAGTATTTGAAAAAATACTGTAGCATATAGTGAATAATGCTACAGTATTACAATAAATATAATAATAAATAAGACTACCAATTTAAATTACCTATGAGAGAATTTGCAATAAAATTAAGTTTGTAGCTTGGAAAAACTTTTTCATTCTTTTGGCATAGTATGAGACAACATTGTTAATCGGATATGAGAGATTCGTCAATTTGAAATTACAGCAGATACCAGTTCATATGTTGTCATCAAACTGCTCATTTGTATAGGAAAAAAACAGAGAATACATCACTTGTTGTGATCAACAATTCAGTTAATATTATTCAAAGTATTAATGGATTTTTTTTTAAAGCTAAGATACCAAGCAATGTCAAAATAGATTATTATATAAAAAATGATAAGTGACAGAGAAATCTCGTCAAGTAAGTTATGTCGCCAAACAGCTTACTTTCAGTTTCAACCAAACATTTAAAATTATGCAATTGATTTTGAGGATGATCAAACACAAATCCCTCTTCTCCAGAAGAAGGAAGCAGAAATCTCCTAAGGGGGGGGGATTCAGACGAAGGTTGCTTTTTTGGCCTAAATTTTTAAATTTTAAATTTGTATATTTTTTTCCCACTAAATGAAGGATACGCTCTGAGAATTAAGATTTAGGGGTACAGCATCAATAAAATAATTTCCAGAAATTTTATGAGCTTTTTCCCTTTTCTAATTATAATGTTGTTAAAACTATTTATTTATACATTTTAGCTCTATTTATATTAAATTCATAAAATTTCATTGTTATTTTGAAGGATATTGTTCCTTATCATTTAATGTTATCCAAATAGCCATAGACAAACAGTCAATAAAATGTACAAATAACACTAGTGTTATAACTAATACTATAATATAAGTGTTTAATATTGTAAATGTCAAACTTATTATTACTAGTGTAGTTATTACCAGTGTATAAACTGTGTTAAGAAACATGTTAAAAATCTGCAGTGTTTACTGAACCATAATAACACAACAAGCATAAAATTTAAAGCGCAATAATAAAACACTTAATTGGCTTTAAAAGGATATTTTCTTTTTCAATTTCTTGCCCACTGGGAAGTTTAAAAGTTTCTGTCTCAGCGATATTCGTCAGAGTCTCTGCTTGTTCCAGTTCCCTAAAATAGCATAAAGAAAGACATAAATTTAAACATAATACACACACAAAAATCTCAAAGGATTCAGATTTTAAGTCACCAAAAAAGTTTAATATAATTTATGAGTAGATGTTATCAATAAGGTCAAGGTGGAAGAGCACAACAAGAATTTTTACAAAACTAGATTAATATACATTTAGACCTACATGGAAACCTTACTTATCTTCTGCACATTTGAAAAGTCAAAAGAATATCTAAAAATAACACTAACCTCAAAAAAAAAAAAAAAAAAAAAAAAAAAAAAAAAAATTTTTTTTTGAAAGGGGTCAGATTTTAAAATTGCCTTCTAAAGTTTAATATTTATTGGTAGAGATTATTGAAACAGATGGTCCAGGTGGCAGAAAAAACATTTTAGAGGACGAATATACATTTGCTCTATCATGGGAATGCTGCATACCTTCCATACATTTAAAAAGTAAAAAAATATGTAACATTTTGAATTTAATACAATTTATCAGGCACCTCGTACTTAATGATATTTTTTTGCAAATTTTAGTGTGTTCTAAAGTAAGTTTCTTTCTTTCAAATGCCAAAAACCATTTGACAAAATATGATTAAACACACCAAAGCAAACTGTTTGCGCAGATGATATTTGCGGCGGTGGGAAACTTTCATTAAAACCTGATACACTGATTTCATTGCTAAAACAAATTAAAGGTTTTCTTACAGTTTTTAAACATAAGAATTTATTCGATGAGATGAAACATAATACGATGTTTAATTTTCTTTTTATTTTCAAAACATAAAGTTAGCTCATTACTAAAATAAATTAACAGTTTTCCTGCTAGCTTCAAAAAGAAATTTATTAATTAAATAATGGTTTAGTTTACAGAAGAGACAAAATACCAGTATTTTTGTTAAATATTAAGAATCTTTAATCAGTTTAATCTTACACAAGGCAAAATATATTTTAAGATCACAGACATCAACCTATCAAACAAAAAAAGCCTTTTTTTACTTACCAATAAAAATATAATGAACATGCTTAAAAACTTCACCAAATGAAATTAAAAACAGAAATACAGTAGACATCACTTAATATGACTGCAGTGAATGTAATCACAGAGATATTGTTATCGAATAGTCGAAAGACTCACCTTAACGCATACGAAAGCGTAGAAAATATATTACTGTAATCAACAATTCTATTAATAAAACCAAAATATTGTAGAATAAATTTTTAAACTGAAGTAAACTTGCCATATAAGCTAAAACTGATTATAAAAACTGCTAAATGACAGAGAAATATCACCAAATAAGGGACTAAGTCCCCCAAATTTGGTTTCAATTTTAATCAACGATTTAAAACTGATCCGAAACAGAAATCTTAGTTTGACAATTTTGAATAATTCTATCGATTCTGAGGGCAGTTTAGATACAGGTCCCTCTTCTTCAGGACTAAAAAGGAGAAAAAAAATTTCTGAAGAATATTTTCTCTCAGCATTGCACATCATTGACAAAATAACACAGAGAAAGGTTTTTGATGATGAAGTTTTGAATACATGGTTTTTGATAAGTACAGAAGAAAGTTAACTAGAAGAGATTCCGACAAATTCTTAAAAAACAATCCTTGAAATGAGTAAAACTTGAACTGTTTGGCGATGACACTGACATAAAAAACAGATCCGATCTCGATCAACAATATACGTTGGTTAATTCGAGTCACAGTGGCCCTTTATGTTAATCAAAGAACTCAAATGTAGCATTTACTGATAACATCTGCTCTCACAAACATAGCATAATATTTCAATGATGAAATAAACTTAGCTTGTTTTCATATGTAACGTAGAGAAAAAACTGAGCAATTTCAGATATTGATTGAGCACTTATGCCACATAAAGTTCAGCAGGTAAAGTACAAAATTTTTAAAAGCAGCATATGTTTAGAATTCCCAATATGGTGTTGCTATTATTTTTTTCAGGCTTGTCTTGGTTCACTGTATCAGTGTTCGGTTTTTTTTTTAACATGATGATGTATACAACTTTTTCAGTCTTTTTTAACTTCATTGTTTAAACATCACTTCTTCCATACTCATGCCACATACAATTCAACAGCAAAATCACAAAATATTAAAAAACTGCCCATCTTTAGAATTTGTGATAAAGTGTTAAGAGTTAGCATGCATTTTTTTTTAATATTTGCTCTCTATATATGTACATATACATAAAATACAGGACTAATTTGTGTTTTTCATAATTTATTAAATAGAATTACATTTACGAATATTTTGTGTACAGTCTTAACGTTATGATTTTTTTTTTTGTTTGTACCTTGCATAATTTTGAATTACCATTTAGTTGGTTCACAAAATGATTTTATTATTTGCTTTAATTAGTACGGTGCCAAAAACACACTGGGATAGTTCTTGTCATTATTAGATGATTATAAATACTATTTGACATTTTTGGACAATTGGCTAGTGCGAATTTGAGTTTTATAATGGTAGGAAGAACAAAACATCTTAGATTAGAATTAATTCTAATGATCATATATCTTCAACTTATTTATTAATTATTTAAACTGAAAATCATCATATGTTGATCAATGATGAAAAAATGGCAGACTTATTAATATTGCTACATATTTAGGCAACTCATTAAATACATAACTAGGAACTATGTCTTAAGGAACAAAAATGTACCTTTAAAAAAATTTTCCAATTGCAGGGCCATTATTGGTAAAAAAGGCATTTCAAATACAAATACGAAATCTCCAACAAATTAATAGAATGAGATAAATAAATGAATTATAATTCACTACAATGCTGAAGGTCTACAATTTTTTCCTTTAGTTTGGGTTACTGAAAATGATCTAACTCTTCGTACTTTTAAACGTAATTGTCTAGCTGTTTTGGAAGAAATTATTGATATGGTGGCACCACTGTCTACAACACACTCTAGAGGTTTCTTGTTCGACAAATATCCCGACACCTTTAATAGTCAAATACTGTGAGGGGTTTCGGGGGTTGGTTCTATTGCAAGGGGTTGTAACATTAGGTGTAGCATTAGGTGTAGCAGTTCTCTCCCCTCTGAAAGGACAAATCTGAAACCAGTGAAAAGCATTTGGGATTCCGTTCCGGGTGCAAAGTCTACAGGGACTGGGTGGCAATGGCAATCTATTTTAAGAACTATAATTATGATGACTTGTAAATCTTGGACCACTGAACCGATTATAAAAATTACTTGGTCTCTGAAAACGTTGGAAATTGTTGGGTCTAGGAGAATCTTGTCTCACAGTAGTTTCATAGCTTGAAGCTGAAATTCTACTTCTATTAAATCGATTGTAATTTTGGGGACTGTTCCCAATCGGAGTAACAAAATCTGGGAGGAGTGCACTTTTTGATTTGTTGATTTTCGCTAATCTTAATATAAGCTTATGGACATGAAGTAAGCCAAGAGATGGGGTCAGAGGGTGTAGCGTTGATCGTCATTAAGGATTTTAATTCTATAGGAAGGCCATCCGTCAGACCCTCCAAGATGATTTCATGAGTTAGATTTAATTTTTTACAAATATCTAATTTTTTGCGAAAAATATTGCGTTATGTCCTCTTTATGATTGTACTTGTAATTGGCAAAATCACCAAACGTAGTTAAAGTGGGATCGAAAAAATTTTCCTTTAAAATTTGGACTAATTCCACATATTTAGTAATTTTATGGCAGTTTTTGACATATACGCTAGGTTTATTTTAGCATCCATCTCACAAGCGTTCTTCGTACCTTGAGCAGAAGCCCTACTTATACATATGTGTGCATCATGAAGCTCCTCCACAATCAGCGATATTAATTGAAATCACGAGGTGACGCTATCCTCTCATCAGGAGTGTTCTAAAAGACTTTATGTAATATGACAGATTTATGAGTTTGGCGGGCGCCAACTCATTAGTCATTGTGAACAAGGTTAATATAATTTTATACTAAAGAAAGGATTTCGCCAAAATTTAGGAACATGGGATGCAATTTAAATAGAGAATCGAATTAGAATAGCCAGACACATTATTAAGCAATATGATTCGAATTTAATTTAATCAATTGATTTAAAAATATCATTACATATATGTTATATTAATGTAGTATATATATATATATATATATATATATTACATTAATATAATATTTGAAAAGTGATATAATGAATATTGACGGTAATAGCAGCTCTGGTGAAAAAATTCAAAATCCAGAACATTCATTGAAAATAATCTTTAAAATACAGAAAAATTTAATACAATCATTACTTACCTGTTTTCAGCTTCCTTTTTTGCAAGCTTTTTTGAAGCCTTCTCTATGGGCAGCAACTAATAAACAAAAATAAAATGAAGCATTGATAACAGATATAAAGCATTTCTTTGGCTTCATTACATAATACTGAAAATAATTTAAGAACTGAAGACATCAGTCACCATTTTAGGAAATAACCTTTCTTTTCTAACATTCTTAGAAGTACAAATAAGGATTTAATTACATTTTTATGCTCCAATCAAACATCATTTTAAAATTATATTTATTGGTTAATTCTTAATTCTTGTTTCATTTTAAAAGTGAAACATAATATTTTCCTGTGTAGTGCAGGGGCAAAACATGCATTTGGTCCACATGCAATTAGAGTTTGAGACTTTCAAATAATGTAAAAGCATCAAATTCTTTTTGTTCCCGAAGAGAAGGGACCTCTGCCCGAATGCCTTCAAAATCCACAGGGTTTCATTCAAAATCTACAATAAAATATGTTTCTATTTTGCTCAAGTTTAATGTAAAAGAATTTAGAACACCCCTTAAACGGTGGAGGAATTTGCCCTCCTGTAATGGCATTTTGGCCATTACAGGATATACATTATATATTATAAACTTTCAGAAACATGCCGAAGAGACTAATTATCACTCTTACACATTCCCACCAGCAAGCGAGCTGTAAATCACCGAACACTGTTCGTTTCAACCTGAATTCAAATTCAGGAAAATGGGATGGCGTTTTCCTACTTTTCACCATGTGTAACAAGTATATGAGCCAGTTTACCTTTGAAAGTCCTCCACGAAGGCATTCATCTCCTTATGCAGATAGCCCTAATATGCTTTGCCATAATAAACTAAACTAAGCCAAACCAAACTACACATTAAGTTATTTGAATACAAGAGGACTATTTGCTTAAGTGGGAGCATATCTTTGTAAAGGACTTTCTAAAGGAAACAAACTTCTCTTCGTGTTACAGATGGAGAAAATGACAAAACCAACCATGTAGACAGCCTGTGGGCCAGGGATTGAACTCAGAATGAAATGGCAGTATTTAGCTACCTTTTAACTTTTTAAGCTACAGGTGGGATAACTTCATGGAGAAGGAATATCCAATACATTCATGCACAATGAGAAATATTACTATTGATTAGACTAGATTTGATTAAATTTTATTTGTACTCATCAAATATTAATTATATAATAATTATATTATGTTTGATCAGTTACAAACTTTTGCACTAATAATAGCTTTTGAAGGATAAACAATGAGCCTAAACAGATTATATCAATCAACATTTCTAATGAGATTAACTTAGACATGGATTTGGAGAGAAAGTGAAGCAACAAGGAGAGAAGCAAACAACATTTATTTATAAAAAAAAAAAAAAAAAAAAAAAAAAAGAAAAGAAAAGAGAGAGAGAGAGATTGCATCTTCACAGTGTGGATAAATGGCAAACTGCACATATGTCAAGAGAAAAACTCTTAAGCTAAATGTTGTACATTTTATGACATGAAAGTTTTGCTTAGGAATACAGTTACGTATGGACAGCTTTTTTTCACAGTTGAAAATTAACATGAAAAGACCAATGAGCATCTACAATCTGCGATGAAGATAATTTCTAGTTATTTCTCTCAAAGGCTACAAACTACAAATCGGAATTGAAACACCCTCAAATGCGAAGCTGTAGTAAGAAATAAAGAAGTTCATAACTATTTACATACAAATATATGTATTTTTATTTATGCTTCAAAGAAAAATTTTCATAATTAAGAGAAAGATACTAGGTCATTTTTATTTATTTTTAAGTTTTGTTCCACTTAAAAAGTTTTCCCTGAAAACTTAGAAAAACTTTTCTGATTTAATTTTAGTTTCAATAACTTGTTTATTTTTAGTTAAAGTTATTTAGTGATTAATTAAATGTGTTAGAATTATTTGAAATAAATATCAGTCTGAAAACTAAACATTTAACAGTCAATATATTATGTAACCAACAAAAATGTATCCTAGATCAAATAAGGAAGTTCTCCTGCCGCACCCTGTATACAGAGGTTGATGATAAAGTACAGAACATTCAGAATTAGAAATTTTGCAGCAAAACCATTACAGATATTGAGTGTCATTTTTTTTTTAAATGGCATTTATGATGGCAAAAAGAATTAGCAGCAAAATACTGTAAAGGACTTCAGATAAAATGACTAACTTATGCTGTTACTGAAAGGCATACTTTTATAATGCTGGGCATAAATGTAAGATCTTATATGACGTTGATTGGCAATAACATCTATTTGTGACCAGTAACATTTTATCAAAAAGTGAAAACAGTAAAAAACTACAAGAATTTTTTTTATTAAAATCTCTTTTTAAAAATATCAATGAACTTTTTTATTAATATTCTAACATATATATAAGTTACCTTATTCAAAATTATTAACCCCTTCAAGCCTAACGGGACACATACGTTTCAAGCAAATTTTAAAAAAATGCTTTTGGGATAGAAACGCTTCTCTGTCTAATGGAAGACTTTCCCAACAGTCCTGCCAATATTTTTGAAGCTATTTTCATTCACAGAACATAGATGGCACTACCGTACATAATGCAATTCCCGCATTTTTGAAGTGTTGTAGCAGCTCATTCCATACTCTACGAATGTAAATAGTTTAGTTTTGGAAAATACCACCTATTTTCGATTAAATTTTGATTTATCCATAAATCTAAGGCCAGATAAGTTACTCACGAAGCGGATTACCTCTAATAAACTGGTAAGTGGCAAAGTTTTACTTCCGTTTTTATTTTCGGGACATATGTGTCCCTCTCGTCTTGGATAGTGGGAACACATTGTCTCAACAGTCCTATGTGATCATTTCTCTAGATATTATATTTTTCGGTTACTTTTGAAATAGTTGCTTATTATTTTTAATTTAGGCACATATTATTAATTCAATCTAAAATGACTCGACGCCGGGGACTTACTAATAAAGAAATAATAATAATAATAAAATACAAGAGTCAGATGACGAAGATATTGATTTGGATGATGAAATAGACAATCCCGATTTTCAAGCTCCAACACACAATTTGCAGTACTCATTCGATTCAGACGAGTGTGAAATGGATATCGATCATGATACCATTCCCCAAAATACAAAGAACAGCAATGCTTTGAGTGATACTGATACGGCATCACTTTCATCAGTTGATGAGATACCATCAGCTAATGCTTTCAGGCTGCAAACCAATCTTATGGTTTCATGCAGATTCAACTTTCCAACCTCGAATGACAATTCCACAATTCCAGCAGAGTCATCGCCTAGTTTGTTATTCAACTTAAATCGTTCAGCTACCAAACTGGATGTGTTTCTCAAGATATTTCCAAAAAGTCTTATGATTTGGATCTCTCAATGCACAAACCAACGACTTGAAAAGTTAGGACAAAGAATTCACCCTACAGAACCCTCTGAAATAATGCTTGTCCTTGGTGTCTTACAATAGGGTGCTCTAATTCTCTCATTATTGGTCATCTAATCTAATCCTTCTTTGGGAAACGTAGCAATAAAAAATGCTATTTCAAGAGACAGATGTAAAACGTTGCTGTCGAAACTATATTTTACTGCACCAGAAAATGCAAGTAAAATATATTATATTGACGAGGTTGTTTCGTGCCTGAAACAAACCTTCAAACAGTGCCGGAGCAAAAGCTCATATCAAGCTATTGATGAATCAATGGCGAAATTCAAGGGACGTTCATCCCTCAAACAATATATGCCGATGAAACCTGTGAAAAGAGGGATAAAAATTTGGCAGCGATGTGATTCAAAAACAGGATATGTATATGACATGAACATTTATTCCGGAAAAGAAACGGGTGAAGTTCATGTTCAAGGCACACTCGGGGAACGGGTAGTATCAAAGCTAACGGAGACAATCCGAGGTAAAGACGTGATGCTTGCGTTTGACCGATTTTTTACAAAGCGTGCACCTGATGGAAAACCCTGAAATTTCCTGTTGGTATGTGCATCAAGACACGCAAAGATGTTCCTAATTTTGCAACAAAACTAAGCAAAAGGGGTGAGGCTGAGTTTCTCGTAACTAAAAATGGAACATTGTGTGCGAGGTGGCTTGATTCAAAGGAAGTGATGATGCTAAGTAATTGCCACGAAGCTAAATACACAAAAGTAAATCGCACCATGAAAGATGGAAGCAAAGAAGAATTTGAGTGCCCTGTGGCAATCGAATTCTACAACAAAATCATGGGAGGTGTAGACCTTGCAGATCAAATGGCAAATGTCTATGAATTAGATCAAAAATCTTGCAAGTGGTGGAAAAAAGTATTTTTTCACCTATTGATGAGCGCAGCGTTCAACTCATGGATTGCGTACTGCGAACTCAAACATTGAAAAACCCCACTTCTTGATTTCATTGTACATCTTGCAGAAGCCTTGATGGCGTCCGGAAACTCAACGCACAGTATCAACGCCATAGAGGAACTGGACGCCCATCCAAAACATCATGAAGCTTACTCAGTGTTGGTGACCATCTGCAAGTAACAACAAAAACACGATGGCGGTGCCGTAAATGTGCACAACAAAAGGAATCGTGCACTAAAATAATGTGCCCGATGTGTAATGTCGCATTGTGCATTGATTGTTTCAAACCATACCATTCATAATTAAATTTTTATGAGTAGAAAATCATTGGTTTTCTTTATAAAATTACTCATTGAAGACTACTGGGACACATATGTCCCAGAAGTCAGGATTGATGGGACATATATGTCCCGGTCCTAAATCAGTGTTCAAAATGTTTCTAAAAATATAACATCTTAGTTTTTAGCATTCTAGTGTGCCCTACTCATAGTTTATGTTCTCAAAATTGTTCTGTTGTAAAAAAAAAAAAAAAAACTCGCAGTGAAAGGGTTAACTTTGATTTGGTAACAGTCCTTTTTATTCTCCATTTTAAATGAGCTATCGCCCTTTTCCGTTTTAAATCTTTGTAACAACTTTTCTAGACTGCATCTTTCCATTTCATGCTTGCTTATGTAATCCTTCTTTCTGCACGTGAGAGCTTGTATCCAATCACAGATCCAGAATTCATACAAAGAAATAAAGTTTATAAATACCACTGCTATTATTGTGCAGCCTTTCCCCCTACTTTGCTTGCTGCTTGCCAACACATATTTCTTGCCTCTGCTGTTTATCACCACTGTTTAAAGAGATGTAAGCTGTATAAAATTGTAGAGTACCTAGTGCACCCATAATAATGATATGTGAAAATGTTTTAAATATGAAACAAAACTGTGTTGAATTAACAAAACATCTGGTAAAGTTCTTCTTCACTGTTAAGCCATCTTAACTATCTACACATCTGTTTTTTAATAGTCCTCATGTCATCTACAGAATTAGGACATACATGTGCTGTTTCATTTATAATGATTTAAGCAATTTATTTTTTTGTACAGATATTTAAATAAGTTCATTCTGTGTTTATATTAGTATATATTTAATTTCAACTTTACAAATAAGCATAATCATATATGACTGTAAAAAAAAATTGAAATTAAATATAAAACATACGTTCTCATCATCCTCTTCGTCTTCCTCTGAATCATTAGTCCCAAAGTCATCACCCATTATTTCATCCTCCTGAAATTTTAAATCAATTTTAGCAAATAGCAAGAAATAAAAAATTAAAACTTGGGTATTTAACAATATTAAACACACAGTATTTCCTCGTTTAAGCAATCACAGCAGAGACACTTTACAAACAAAGTTAATTTACCGAAAACTTGAAAAAAACTATGGCAGAATTCAAAAAATGAAAATTTGTAATCATATTTATTTATATAAATAAAGAAAAGTGTCTGTGCATTTGTTTTCAATGAAATCTGCATTTTATTCCAATCTTGGTGAAATTTGGCACTCTTGACTTTCAAGACAAGAGGAACACCACTGTTTACATAAGATTCCTAAAAACCACTGCACGAAGTCACCACTTTTTATATACATATTTTTATGTTAATTTAACAAATAAAAATATCAGTGATGTAAAAGAAGTGTGTTGCTGCACAGCAAAATGCAACATACTTGGCTTTAAAACTTAATAAACAAAATTAGCAATCTAAAAGAAAAGTGATTAGTAAGCTGCAAATTAAAATATTTTTAAGTGTGTAATCCTTCAGCGAAGCATAAGGTATTTAATTTTTTTCAAATTTATTCAATTATTGATTAATACACTAAGAAACCTGAATGCAGATTTATTTCAGTTATTATTAATTACTATATGGAATCATGAAATTCTATTAGTTGGATTCATTAAAATCATCTATCTATCTATATAAGGATATATGTATATAAGGAATTGATGTTTTAATGTGGTATTGTATTTAAACATACAACAGCCATCAACAAGTAGTTATGCTGATTCCCTTGTAGAGGACCCACCCATTTTTCAGAAAATTTCTTACTTTGATATCATATTGCATTTTGTTAGTTTTCTGTTTATTAATTTTTAAAGTACATTTTACATTGCTTTACGATAAAAAATGCAGTTTTCTTTTATAATAATTAAATTATTAATTTTAATAGCATTATTTCATGAATATGTAACAGAAATATTTTGTTTTTATATTAAATGCAATAGTTTTTATAAAACCTTACATGACAAGGACTGCAAAATTTACTTTCCAATATTCAAGCAAAGACTATTAAGAAGTGTGAATTTTTTCAATTATTTCCTGAAAAAATCAGGACTCTAAATTTAGAACAATCTTTATAATGGTTGGAGAGAACATTTTAAGAACTTTAAAAACTTATATTTTTAGAGAAAAAGAAGATACTGTAAAACAAATGGACTATACATTTCATTTAGATAGTATATAATATTTTTTAAAAATATTTCCAAGGTACTTCTTTATCATAGCGGCTCCCTGAGATTGAATTGCCAATCAACTCAGATGTCTCACCAAAATCTGGTTGCTCACCACATGATCGTATACAGTCAAAAGTCGTTAATTTGGACACCCATAATCTGGACCTCAAAGCTAGAAACTTTCTGCGCATGCGTCAACGCGAAGCATGCGCAGAAATGTGCGAAGACCTTTATGTCTGCAAATATGTGTGTGCGCGTGCGCAAAATACGTTTACAAATGCGCATTTAATGTATAACGGACAGTATAAGCTAAGCTAAAATTATCTCAGTTAATTTTGCAGATTGCGCTGTTCCTTAATCTTTGAATTGAATTCAGCTTATTATTCTTTGCAGACTGTTAGAGCAATTTTATAAAGTAAGCTTGAACTTTATGTCAAATAGAATTTCTGATATATATTTACTAATATGTAAAGGATCTACAAAGCGAAAGTATGCTTCGAAGTCCATTAAACAAAAAGTGGAATTGCTGCAAAAATTGGATAAAGGCATATCCGTTGTTTATTTAAACTTTGTTTATCTTTAACGTCACGGTGCACAATGAATTGGAAGTTGATCTGTCAGCACTATCCTCATCTTCAGGGCAGATGTTTTTATTTTATTTGGCTTATAATTCCTTACTAAATGTAGTATTTCATCTCGATGTACTCCGTCTTTGATATGATTTAAATCAAATTTCTCGTCATTATAATTCTATTCCGATAGCGAAGAAAGTGACAGAGGTTATTGAAAACGAAAAAATTTCGATTGACAAATTAGTCGGTATTCTCGACACAGCAATTATAGGACTTCAACAGTGGAACTTCATAACTGAACAAGAAATTATGTCTGCTTATAGAATTAAAGAGAATGTATTATCACATAAAAAACGAAACAACTTACATTGAAAGAAATGTTTAATAAAGTAAACAAATAAATATTAAGCTTTTTTTTTTTTTTTTTTTTTTTTGTAATTTGATACCCTTTAGATCATAATTGTTCTTTATTTCATAAATTACGGTTTCATATTTTTAATTTTATAATTTCTGCATGCCATCTTACCAGATTTAAACTGATGATCTATAATCCGGAATCGCCTAAGTACCGACAGGCTGTGTATTCTTATACCTTGCCATTTAATTGTATATTAACATAGTGTTGCATTTTTGCTCTCGCTGCACGTTCTCATATTATTCTTTTTTGATGAGGTTTTTGAATTCACATTCTTAAAATATATTCACTACTTTTTTTTTTTTTTTTTTTTTGTGTGTGTGTGTGTAAAACTGCAAAAAGAAGAACCTTCATACTGGAAATCTGTTCAACAGTTCCAGAATATTATTCATCACTGCTATTAGATTTATGTATCCTTAAGCACAGGAGTTGACTTCCATGAAATGGTGTTGGTGTAACAAACAGCTTAATATATGTGAAAGTGCTGCCATTGACTGGAATAATTACATAAGATAAAATAATAATAGTAAGGATAAGGATTCTTAATAAAATTATTCTTAGGAAATGACATGTGAGTACTATTGTTATTATTATACACTCTGTGGTTTATTTTTACATTCGCACTTCACAAGCTTGCCAAGATTATAGCTGAGATTTTGGCACAAATCTAAAATTACCAAATATGGTTAGTGGCTGCTATAACAAAGAAGGAACATTTCCAAAATACATTCTTATACGTGGTTAAGGTTCATGGTACATAAACAAAATGATGGGGCAGAGTGAAATCTAAGGGCTACAACATCCTTCACGAAAATCATTCTCTTTCACATTGAAGAAGCACATATTGTATATATTGTACAAAATTTATCTTCATTTGCTAATGTTCTATTCCTTTTTCCATGGCCAAGCCTTTTTCTCTTTGAAGAGAGAGAAATGTAAGATATAAAATATGAAAGAAAATTACTAACTTTAATTTAGCAATAGTTTTTTTAATTTCTCATTTTATTTTGGCTATGTCCCCTTTGCAGAATCAAAACCGTGTCACTCAAAAATGAATCCAAATTATGGCATCTTATTAACCCTGCAATGTGGTTAACTCTTGTTCAACTGCCATTCAAAATTTAAATAAAAGATTCAACTCTATAAATTTACTCTGCTGAAATGTATGTTACTCATTTCTCTGATTTAGCCATTGCATAATGATGTGATCCATTTTATAAAAACATGAAGGGCACTTATTGCATCCAAAACCCAAAAACAAATTAATGTGCTATTTTGGTCAAGTTTGTCTCTGTTAATCATCTTGCTAATCTACATATATTAGCCTTTTCAAGTAATTACAGGTAACATCTCAGCTATCTTCTAATCCTCAAGTCATCTACACAAAATTATTGTGCACCTGCATGCATGCACACACACACTCACACATATACAATGAATTGTGTCAGTTTTTTATTTGCAAGTGTATAATTCACACATATCTACAGTTTTATTCCGATCTAGACAAAATTTGGCACACTTTACCATCAAATAATATGAAATGAGAGGAAAATCACTGTCTATGAAAGACTTCAGAAAACCACCCCACAGAGTTCACAGCCAGGGCATTTATAGTAGAACATTGAATGTGTTCAATACACTCAGCTTCATGGCACCACTATTGTGTTCTTGCAATCAGTTCCTATTAAAACTGTTAAATGCTGCCATGTTCATTTACTCTTGAGAACAGTATACAACCATTAAAGCAGAATTTAAGTGAACACACTATCATTTTTTTTTTTTTTTTTTTTGAAAACATGTAAAGTAATTGGCTAAAGTGGACGGTGATTTTCCAAAACAAGTATCAGTTGTCACTAAGGCTGCTAGATAACACCATGTTAGTTATCTCTTTAGAACAGCATAGAACCTTTAGAGCATAATTTAAATGCACTCTCGGATTTTTACAAAATAGAGATAAAAAAAAAAAAAAAAAAAAATCCCTCCATTCCTTAAATGAAGCCTCTTAATTGTGTGTAAAGCCTAGGCAATACCAGGTACTTTGGCTAGTAATATAATACATGTAACATTTAATTTGTGCAGTGCGAAATTTTTAATTCCCTAGTGTCCTTTTAAGTAAAAACAGATTGTTGCATATACAGAGAGAGAGAGAGAGAGAGAGAGAAGTACCATTTTTTCTCATCTTACGATGCCACATTGCCGTTTATTGACAAACATCATCAACACATCAAAAGAAAACAGTTAAAATTCAATTTACAATACGAATTTGAATTGTATAATAAGGTTTGTATGATACATTAAACATTATATATATTATATAATATCATACATTACTATTATTACAAATCTGACATTTCAGGCAATTGACTAATGTGGCTGCTTTAACAGGCAAGTACAAAACAAACTTACATGTAGTTAAAAAGTTAGCTTACAATTTGAAAACTTTAGATTACAACTGTTGAACTTCAAATTTTAATTGCTTAGTTTGTTAATTAATAAGAGAATAAATCTGAAATAAAAATTAAATACTATCGACACACACTGTCATGTGGAATATAAAAATATTTTAGTTCGGGCAGTGGCAACACATTTTAAAAAAATCTTTTGAGTTTGTTGATTAAAATCAAAAGGCAAATAGGTTGTGTTTGGTGGCGTGGCAACACACTTCTTTTTGTTTTTTGAAGTCTGCTGGGTTTCTTGATTAATTATGAAACATAAATATTTTATTCTTTGAACAGTGCCAACACAAAGCTTTTTATGTCACTTGGTTTTTAATCAATAGTTCCTTAAATTTGTTCAAAATACAATATACATAAAAAAGAAAGAAAGAAAGAAAGAAAGTCTTTCATATTTTACGTTATGCGTGTCCAAGGAGCATATTATTTTATTATGCACATTCATATTTTACATTATGCACGTTCTTAACATTTCGTGTGTTACCTTTATTTACAAAATATCATGTTCCTTGCACTTAAACCATAAAATTCAGTTCAACAGCAATATCGCACAATAATTTAAAAATGAGCATATCTTAAGAATTTCCGATACACAGTCTCGCACGCTGGAAATAAAAAATGTCTTTTTTCGTACAATGTTGCCACTGCTGGCTTTTAAATTGTCGAGTTTGTTAATAAAATATTCATTACAGTTTTATAAAGTATGAAATAGATTAAAACAAATTCTAAATTTGAGCTTCCAGATGTTCATATTCGGGTGGAAATGTACGTCATTCAAAATTGGATGGCTATAGGTACATTTGTTTATCACAATGCGAGATACAAACATACATTTAAGCAGATTCTTCATTATTTAATTTCTTTAAATATAATACAGGACTCTAATATTTGAAGGCAACAATTTGAAAAGTTAACCAACATTTTCAATGCAAAATGCCAAAACAAAATTAATAGTCTTTCTGGGCAAACTGCCCCTTTAAACTTTAATAAGGAAAAAGATGGAGTGGAAACTATATGTATATACAGTAAAATACCAAAAATCCGCCGACTTGAAATCCACAATACCTCTCAAAATATAAAACATTCAGTTTATAGTTTTCGGAAACCGCAACATGGAGTATGAAATATCGAAGAAAAAATACTTACCGGATAAATGACATCATAATTACCAAATAAAATGAGTCATAATGGAAATACCAAATTATTGACATCATAATAAAAGTTTTTTCGCCCCCTCCAGTCTGCATAGAGGTAAAAAAACAGATGATTCACTTAACTCTTTCTTCAAGTACATGATTCACGTTGTACTTTCTGAGCTCTATTATTTCACAAGATTGTTTAGTGCTGTCTCCTTTTTTTTTTTAAATCCAGATAATTTGTGAATAAATTAAGAATATTTTTAATTTCAGAGCTTTTTAATACAATGACAGACAGATAAGAAATGCACTCATGATTTAACTGCTTGCAACATTGGAAAAAGGTAATAATGTTGCATTGACGGTAATACAAAAAGTGGAAATTCTGCAAAAGATGAAAGGCAGGTGCTACTCCTTGGTTTATAGCAGAATCGTATGGAATTGCGACATGAGCCGTGCAAAATATACGGAAAAATAAAGAAAAGCTATTAAAATTTTAAAAGCAACAGTGATTCTAACACCGGAATCCGAAACCAGAAATCTTTACACAAGACGAAATCGGCAAACCTCAATGTCGTTTCAAAGGAGTGATTCCGGCAGCGGCCCGAGTGATGGGGTACAAATTTCAGGACTGCTCCTGAGAGAAAAAGGGAAGCAGATTCATGCTGATTTAAAAATAGAGGAGCCTCTATATAATGAATTTATATATGTAATAATCATTTAATGCATATAAATAAATTATTCTAATAATGTATATAATAATTTAATTAAATGTATCTAATATGCCTTATTTATTTTGCACTTTTAGCTTAATATTGTGATTTATCTTTTCTGTCCCGAAATCCCAAAAATCCGCACAACCTCTGGTCCCAAGCTTTGTGGATTTCTGGACTTCTACTGTATATATATTCAAAACTGGGAGGCTCTACATGCTACTGTTTGTCCACAATATGAGAAACATACACATATAAATTCTTCATTATTTAGTAATAACTGAGATTGCTTTTAAGCAAATTACCCATTAAAATCTTAAAGGTTTCAGATTATAATGGTCACCCAAAAGGGGCACATTTAATACAGTAGAAACTACTGATAGAGATGGCCTGATTGGAATAGCAAAACATTTTAGAGGGCATTATAATAACACGGGACCAGTCTATATCTTCTGTCTACTCGGAAAGTAGAAAAATATCTGATGTAATTCTTTAAAAATATTGAACTTTTTAATTAATATCAGGCATTAAATGCATTTTAATTTCATTTATTAATTAAATGCATTTTCATTTCAAAAGTAAAAACATGTAATATTCTTAAGAACTGCATCTTTTACTTTTCAATAGTTTAGTTTTTCAATTAATAACAGATTAAATATGAAAGAATAATATCTTTAGTTTCTCTGAATGGCAACATACTTGAATTAAAAGAGAAATAATGTTAAATCATGTTTCAAGACTAACAGCCCTTTCAGGCTAAAACTGTGAACAGTCATCCATAAAAATATTCAATGTTCTTTTATTAGACTAAACAAAATGCAATGCAAATCAATCATGAAAAAAAAAAAAACCCTGAAATGTTTCAGATTTTAAATTACGTCCAAAGGGGCGTTTTTTTTAACATTTTGAGTGTTACCTTTATTTATTAAATATCATGTTCTTTGCACTTAAACCATAAAATTCAGTTCAAGAGCAATATCGCAAAATAATGTTAAATTAAGCATATCTTTAGAATTTCCGATATACACAGTCTCGCGAGCTGGAGATAAAAGTATTTTTCTTCTATATAACGTTGCCATTTCTCGCTTTTAAAGCATTGAGTTTGTAAATCAAAAATTCGTTAAAGTTTTTACAAATATATAATCTATAATAAAACAAATTCCAAATTTGGGATTTCAGATGCCCATATTCGCAGTAGGATTTCGTCATTCAAAATTCGATGGCTCTATGTACCATTGTTTTATCACAATGCGAGAAATAGACAATCATTTATGCAGATTTTTCATTATTTAATTTCTTCAAATATAATGCAGGACTCTAACATTTTGTGGCAACAGTTTGAAAAGTGAACCGACGTTTATGAGTCCGACGCAAAATCGCAAAACGAAAACAATAATAAAAAAAAAAAAAAAAACACTCAAGAACTACAATTATATTTGAAAAATAAATACCTAATAGACTCTAACGATAAGTGAAACAATACATTTAAAATGAATGAACACTAAATTGTGTTTCAAGACTTAATAACTCTTTGGAGTAAAAAGTAGAATCCCACAAAATACCTCTTCATCCCCTATTTTTTTTTCGAGATCTTCTCCTTCGCCATCAGAATCGGAAAAAAGTCCTTTGGATCCACGAGGCTTCAGCCATTCAGTGTTGTCATCTGTGAAAAGCTTTGGCTTTTTGGAACCACTTTCCGAATCATCACTTTCATCTGTAATAAAACAAAACAAATTAAATTAAAAAATGGTAATAATTTACATTAATAAAGCTTATTAAGTACTTAACCCTTTAAAGCACGAGTTTTTCCCCAGAAAAACTGCTAAAAAGTGATTGAGTTTTTTTTTTGGGAAGGGGGCACAAAATGTATAGTGCAAGTTTTTTTTTATTTATTTGTACTAGTTATTATTTGAATTTGTACTAATTTGATACCAATTTCTTGTGCTACAGCCAAAACTCTCATCATCGTTATGTTCAGATTCACTTCCATCCCTCAAGAGATCATAACTTCCATCGTTGAAACTTTCTGATAAATTAGCATATTCAAAATCGTCAGAGCTGCTCATTATCAGATAACTTTTTCTAAATAAGTTATAAAAACACTTAGTAAAATTTAATTTACGGTTAACTGTTGCCATTTATGACAATTAATGCGATAAAATGGATATACTACCTTTTCCACATCTCAAACAGCTGCCTTATAACTTATAGCTAATCATCAAAATGCACCACTTGGCTAATAAAATAAAATAAAAAAAAAAAAAAAATGCTGCATAGTGGTGCCCTCTAAGGTAAATAAGTTTAATTATAATACAGTCAAAAGTCGTTAATTCGGACACCCATAATCCGGACCTCAAAGCTACAAACTTTCTGTGCATGCGTCATGCACATCTGCATAATACGTTTACGCATGCGCGTTTAATGTATAACGGACGGTATAAGCTAAGCTAAAATTATCTAATTCAGTTAATGTTGAAGGTTGCGTTGTTCCTTAATCTTCGAATTGGATTGGGCTTATTATTTTTTGCAGACTGTTAGAGCAATTTTATAAAAGTAAGCTTGAACTTTCGATTATGTCAAATAGACTTTCCGATGCTAGAGCTCCCAAAGGATCTACAAAGCGAAAGTATGTTTGTGTGTCTATCAACCGGGAGGAGGGGGGGGGGCACGCAATGGATTGGAAGTTGATCTGTCAGCACTATTGTTAAATGTTTACCTAAAATGTCTTTCCCTCGCTAGATGGCGCCAGAGGCTCCATTAGTGAGAGAAATAAAATTTTATTATTCCTTTTGTAAACAGGAGATAGTTCGGTTTCGAATCCGTGTGATGGACGGATAAATTGTTTCGTACAGCCATAAGAGAAAAGAGAGGCTGTACAAGAAAATCTATTTAAATATTAATTTTTTTTCCTTTTGAATGTTTTATGTAAATAAAATGTGATGTCAAGAAAATAGAATTGTGGTTTTTCTGTAAAGAAGATTGCCAGCTGAACCATCACGTCAGATTCAACGATGCATAAGAAAAGGTAAATGAATTTAGTTCTTGTTTTTTAATTATTTATAAATAGAACCTTTAGTTCTTGTTTTTTTTTTTTTAATTATTTATAAATAGAACCTGCATACGTCAGTGGATTCTGACAACTTCAATCAACAGTAGTTGATTAATTACATAATAAAGTTTTTTGGCGTCCGCCATCAGAACGTGTTGTCCTAAAGAACTAGTTATTTATGCTTCCGAAAACAGAAGTACTTGAAATATGTTTATTTTCTGAAGATGCATTTTGTTGAATGAAAGCATGTTTATATTTAAGTTGAATAGAAATAGATATTTAGTATTTTCAGCTTAAAATGTATAAGTTTTATGTTTTTGAATAAAAGTAATTTCAACTTAAAACAAATTAATGTATATGAATCCAATTGAGGATTGAAGAATAATTAAGTTAAAAGATTGAAAGGAAATAAGATTAAGTTTAAAGGATTACTTTAAAATTTAAGATAAAATATTTGAGTGAAGTTTAAAGTAAAAATGAATGTTGATATGATAAAGAAAAAACGTGCAACGGCACGCAGTGCTTTCACTAGAACAGTTAAGGTTCTAAAGAACGAAATTAGTAAATATGCTTCAAGCAGATAAAGCTGTATTAAAAGATAAACGATAATTGTGAAGTTACAAATCGATAACTGCTGAGTTAGAATCTTATGATTCAGAGGATACTAGATTTATTAATTAAGGGCAGTGCCACTGAAGATGATTTAGAAACCGAAGTTATAAGCTGTGAGGAATATTCTGATGAATTCATCACAATTGAAAGAAAGTTAGTGAATTACTAAATGTAAACAAAAGTTCCAAATGATACGCAGTCTTTTAGTAACTTCTGATGTCAGTAGTAAGTCAAACGGTATAAATTACCTAAATTGAATATAAAACCTTTTGATTCTCGGTTAATTAATTATTTGCCATTTTGGGCACAGTTTAAGAAGATACATGAAGATAAAGAATTAGATGATTGTGATAAGTTCCAATATTTGCTACAAGCTGTAGAACCTGGAACTCGTGCTAGGCATTTATTAGAAAGTTACCCGATAACTTCAGAAAATTATTCGAAAACTTTGTGAGCTTTTCAAGAGCGTTATGGGGACAAAGATATTCTTATCGAAGTTTATGTCAGGGAATATTTGAAATTAATTACAGCAAATATTCAAGATAAGGGTAAAGACAGATTATCATTGTGTGACTTATTCACCAAGGTAGAAGCACATTTAAGGTCTTTAGAATCCATGGGGCTTGATATAGAAAGTAATTCAGCCTGGCTATACCCCATGATAGAATCCTGCTTACCTGATGATATTTTAAGAGCATGGCAGAGATGCAATATTAAGGGAAAGGAAGATTCTGATAGTGAAGCGAGTTTTCCGAAGTCGAGTGTAACGTTGTTAATGAACTTTTTGAAGAGGGAGGTAGCGGGTGAAGAAAGATTACAGTTAGCCAGGTCAGGCTTTGAAAGTATTATCCCAAAAGAGAGAGTAAAAGAGAAAATGCTGAAAAGGGATAACAAGTACCATACTGCAGTTGGTTTATTCGCTGCTAAAGAAATGTTGTGTTTGTTCAGTGGTAAGTCGCATGAAAGTAAGGACTGCGTAGTCGCCAGATCGTTCTCTCTGGAAGAAAAAATAAAGAAAGTCAGGGAAAAGAACTGTTGTCTGAAATGTTTACGCTTTGGCCACCGTGCCAAAATGTGTAAAGTTTTTGTACGCTGTCATGTCTGCTCAAAACCTCATACAGAGCTTTTCTGTCCTGAGATATGTAAAACTAAAGAAATTAGTGATAAAAGTAAACCCCTAGCGAATATCCAGAACACACTTGCAAATCAGCAGTGTTCAAGAGAAGTAGCTCTCATGACACTAGAAATACTAATTAAGGGTAAGAAGAAAATTAAGAAGGTTAGGGCACTATTGGACAGTGGGTCCCAAAGGAGTTATATTTTAAAGAGCACCGCAAAATAACTTGGTCTTAAGCCTCTCGCTACAGCAACTATTACCCACGGTATTTGGAGGTGCAGAAATGGAAGCTAAACCTCATAGTAAATATAAAATTAAATTACGTGCACCGGATAATGGTCACAAATCAGTTATCACAACCGAATTCCTTGACCAAAAAAAGATATGTGGGAACATTCCACGCATTCCAAAGGAGTCTGTTCTAGAAGAGCTTAAGAAACATAGATTATAGATTAAGACACAATAACACGCCGAATAAATACTAATTCAGAAGTCAAACAACAAAAATCAGCGTTATGTGAAAATCAGTGTACTGTGAAAATTTTGTGAATATAACGCTGATTTTTGTTGTTTGACTTCTGAATTAATAGATTATAGATGTCAGATATTGGTACTGGGTGTCCTGAAATAGAAATTTTAATTGGCAGTGATGTTTATGGCCAACTCCTAACAGGACGAATCAAGCAGCTGAACAACGGTCTAACGGCAATTCAGACAAAACTTGGATGGACAATTTGTGGTGAGTTAGAGAATCCGTCCCAAGGTCACGTGAATAGTGGTACAGCTAAAAAAAGTTGATGACTAATTTATCTCTGAGAGAACTTAGCATTCCAGATTTTATGGCGGCCTTAGAAACAATAGGAATTAATGATCCCGCTGAAACGTTATCTAAGAAAGAAGAAGAAGAGCTAGCCCATGATTTGTTCCTCAAAGAACTTACGAGAAGTGAAGACGGGCGTTACCGTTTGGTCTTCCAAGGACTTGTATTAACCTAAACATTCCTTCAAATAGAAATGAAGCAGAAAGAAGGATGTTTAACACTACAAGAAGACTGAAGAAGTAAAATAAATTTGAAGATTATGACCTAGTCTTTAAAGAATGGCAAAACGAGAATGTCATACAGGAAATCTCAAAAAGGGAACTAGAAGAAGTAGGAGGCCATTACTTGTGTCACCATCCAGTTATTAAGCCAGAGAGTGCTACTACGTCTATCAGACCAGTTTTTGATGCCTCGTGCAAAGTTGGAAGAGCACCATCCCTAAATGACTGTCTCTTCAAAGGACCAAACTTGATAGAAGAAATTCCCGCTATATTATTGAGATTCCGAGAAAAGGCTATTGCTGTTGTATCCGACATCAGAAGAGCCTTCCTCCAAATTGAAGTTAAGGAAGAAGACCGGTGATTTTCGAGATTTGGTGGGAGAAAGCAAATAAAATTAAAGTCTATCAACATAACAGAGTATTATTTGGAACTAATTGTAGCCCTTTTTTACTCAGCCGGTTATAAGATACCATTTGAACAAGTATCCAAAACAACTCAAAACAGTTACTGACAAACTCTTGAAGTCCTTCTATATTGACAACTGCGTAACCTCCGTAGACAGTGCATCCAAATTAGAAGAATTTATTTCAAAGTCAACTGAAATTATGGCTGAAGCTAAGATGGATTTGAGATTATGGCAGTTCGGTCCGGTAGAAGAAATAGAAAAGTTGTCAACTGAGAACAGAAGTTTGTTTAAAGAAGATCTTACAACTCCAGTTTCGGTTTTGGGGATTAGATGGGATAGAAAGGAGGATTGTTTAATGAT